AACCCATTGTACAATTTTAATTGGCGTTTCAGTTATTGAAATGTTGCACCCAGATCGATTTAAGTGTACCCTATAGGAGGGAGGGTATTGTGGCTATATGGAATGGGATATTTTAGGTGTCATGCAGCAGCACCGCTCGGTCGTTCACAAGCTTCGCTCTTAATACGCGTAGAATTTCCACTAAAAGAAGACAGAAGAGTGTCCAAAAATCCAGAGAAAATATAGCCATAAAATATATTATCCACGAATATTCTTACTGGATTCTTCTGGATTCCGGATTCTATTCTTTTCCCCCGAAAATATTACTCATCTCTTGCCAAGTTCACTGCAACATTTATCACAATTCAAAGCAACATTTAAACCATAAATGTAAGTGCATTCACTAGTCAATCGTTAAATGGCATGCCAGAATTTATTTTGCCGGATATTAACAGTCAATAATGTCAGGTTATTGTCGAACATATGCGGCAGCGATTTTTCATTGTCGCCTCCAATAAAATGTTTTCTCTCTTTTTCACATCTACTGACTTTTTGCCCCTACGCAGCCGTTTGCCCGGTGCATTTCACTTTTAATATGCTTAATGCGGCAGAGGAACAATAACCCTATAAAGTGTCACTTCTGGCGTTGCAAATAATGATTGATTTTCTGCTCGAGAGCCTATCGAGAGCCATGTATGCATAGGACCTTTAAGCAGATTTTCACAAGTTAATTGAGTTGCAACGGATTCACCGATTTAATTTAATTTTCTCCGGGCTCTCTCACTCTCTCTCTGTTATTGTTTGTTTCAGCTTTTCGGGGCGGGTGTTAATCATAATATGGCAAAGCATCCTGCATCCTGCATTCTGCATTCCTGTGGTGTTTTTGCGATTGTTTTGCTAATAACAAACACGAGGCACTCTAATTCCCTGTCCCTACAATCCACTACAATGCACTTTCTCGGCATCCATCCATCCATCCGGCACCTCACGTTGGCGCCTTGGCAAAGGATTAAGGCATGCCTCCTGTCATGCATAAATTCTGCAAGTTGTGCAACAGAGAGAACAGGTGGTGTTGGTGGTGTAGTTTGGAGCCAGGGATTTGATTATGCTACTTTGTGTTTGCAAATTTTAAGGTAGATAATTCATAAATCGGAAAAGTAAGACAGTAGTAAGACACTTTAATATTATGAGATTATACTGAACAAATTGTGTACCATGGAAGTGTATTACTTACACGCTGGCATCCCACTTATCCCACTCGGGCAATCCTGTGTAACTGCAACCTTCTGAATATTCTGAATTTATATGCCCTAAAATGTAATTTACGTTCCTTAAAAATGAGTTTATTATTATGGTATTATAAGCCTGTTCCATCGAAACTTTCACAAGCCAAAATCTGTAAATCATAAGCTGCCATTCGCAACAGTCCTTGTTCCAACATCATCATCATATCATGAGTAATCCCCAATAAAGTTTCAACGTTCGACACCCAACACCAAACAAGCCAAATATCTTTCTAATGACTTACAAACAAACCCCGCAAACCCGAAACCGAAACCAAACCCAAAACTTCCCTTTGGGAGCAACAACAGCAGTAAAGACTTTGCTAATCTCTGGACAAAACCTCAACCTCATCGCCTACTCCTGGCACCGCCTACTAATGCATTTTGCGACAATGCGATAAACGTTTTAGGCAAATATTACAATAATAATTTACGAATACAACAAGTTCTTCATATTAGTTGTGTGTGTGTGTGTGTGGCCAAAGGGATTTAATGCTGCCTTTGCCTTGAAATTAAGCCCCAATTTTTGTTTGGGGATTTTCACTTTTCATTTGAATATTCTTGGCATTTACACTTGTTCGTGTCTCTCATAAATTATGGCCAGTAGTTTTGTTGTGTGTGTGTGTAAATATTTTTTAACCAAAAACAGCCAACGAATGTGAAAACATTTTGGATGTTTGGTTGTGTTTTTGATTTATTTGCTTCACAATTAAATTTTGAGAAATGTGAGTAGAGACGAGAATCCTTTTTTGCTCATTTAATTTGATTTTTGAATATTCAAATTACAAAGGCATAAACAGCTTAAAATAATGCGATTTCATTTGAGTCAAATATTTTCCCCAATTTAATTTGCACATCTTTAAAATCAGAACATGAATAGAGAGATTAATGGAGAGGATTTCTATTTTATTTATTAATTCAATGAAAATGAGAATGAAAATCGAATATGGAATTGAAAGAGCGGGAAAATCTGTACTAAATAACCATAAACATTATCATTTGTTTCTCTTAAATGTGTCAGCAGTGCATGTGGAATTTCTCAATTTAATTCCCGATTTTAGCATCATAATTCAAATTGACTTTTCCGTAATACTACTTGCACACATTCCTAAAATGCCTGGGCATGCCAGCAGCATGCGGTCTGCATTTTGTGACAGTTTTAAAAATGTTTATAAATATTTAATTGTGCATTCAGTGCAATCGAATGCAAAATTCCATGGCAAATTTCAAACAACTGTCACGATTTGCGTGTCAAATTACAATAATATTAATTTTGAAAAAGATGGGAAATTGAATATAAAATGGGAATTGAAAACTGACCAAAAGAAAGGTTCACACAAAAAAAAAAAATGAATTAACCACGAATTACAAATCAATTTAAATGCGCAAAAACTTTTGGCCAACGAAGGAAACTTCTCGTTATTCTGTTTCCAGGGGAAACTTTTAATTCAATTCCATGTCTCAGGCATGTCAATGAGATGGCACCAACGGAATGGGAACGACCAGGACCTGCGACCAGCGACCAGCGACCTGCGACCCTCCTTTAATGCAACATTTTTTTTTCCGTTCGGAAATGAAAATTTGTTTAGTAAATTAAGAGTACTTAAAGTGCAAGTCAAGGAAGCCAGAGACCAAGACCGAGACGGAGACCTGGCACTGGTTCTATCTCTATCTATTCCCGTGTATTCCTTCCCCGGCAACAGGAACATTATGTATTCTTTTTTAAAACATGCAAAATCACGTCTATGCATCTTAATAACTTTTCGTGCTTGTGCAAACAATGCGAACGTGAAAGTTGAATAGGTTTTTGCTTAGTTATCAGAAGATTTCCCCTCCTGTCCTGTCCTGTCCTGTCCTGGTGGAAAACCGAAAGGCGATGGAGATGAAGCAGGAGCTGGAGACGAAGGTGGGGGCCAGGGTTCAGGCTATGGACTCTCAATGCATAAATCAAATGTACATATTGTAGTTCAAGTTAAACTTAATTTAGTTTCTTCGAGTTTTCCCAACAAGTTTTCGGTAAGGAGAGGGAACGAGAGAGAGAGCAATGGGAATCCCAGAGATACTCCGGGAAAGAGGGAGCAGACTCTTGCTCCCGGGGAGAATGAATAACGTTTGCTATCACAAGTATCATTATTTAGGTACGCAATGCATATCAGGTGGAAGTTTGTGTATTGTATTCATCGAAAACGCTTAGATTTTGATAGCAAAAAGTAGAGGATTGAAACTAAATTAATTAAATTAAGTTCACAATAAATAAACATAGAGTAATGAGCCAGGGTGCATTTAAAATATTTAAAAAATATTTATATTTTAAATTATTAAAAACTCAAAACATTTAAAAAATAAAAAATATATAAAATATTTTAAAAATATTTTAAATTTAATAAATATTTTATTTTAAAAATATTAAAGTTTATCGAGAGAAAAATGATAGATTTATCAACAAAAACTACGAAAAATCAATTGAAATATTATTATTTTCTACAATAAGTGATAAGAGATGTGAACTGTATAATTGTAGACTCCACTGCGGTTCTGGCACATCCGAAAACATTGCTCCCTCACACACACACCTTTACCTTTGATTACTCATCCTGATGTCCATATGTCAAATGCATGACCATAACTTTGTTTAGGAAGCCCATCCATTCCCATTTCGAGTACCAAAACAATTGAATTGCAAGGAAACCAATCAGTCAACAGAGGGTTTGGGATTCCCCCATGTAAACGTGACTCTCACTCTCCCACTCCCCCTGCAAAAAATCCCACCAAAAAACAAAGTTTCAGCAATACAAAAATTAATTGATGACGTACACACACCCACACACACATGCCACCCACAGTGGGCCACAGTGGGCCACAGTGGGGCACAGATGACGCACTGAACACTAATTGGCAGCAACAACAGCAACACCGTGTGGCACATAGCCACGAAGTCGATTTGATAACAGGAGAACAGGAGATGGTTCAGGAGAGTGGCATGCAGGAGGCATGGACTCTGGTTTTTGGTTATGAAACAACGAAACGGACGCCGTGACAGGGGTAGGGGATGTGGTGGTGGTGTAGGCTGGGACAGGCAATGGCCTGGACATGGCCAAATCGATGCAGACATAGACGAGCAACAATCAATCAATTAAATGCCTGACTGCAGTTCCCACACAGCGCAACACAACTCCAAAACGAGAACGAACATGACCCCAATGCAAAAAAAAAAAACCAAATACAAAAAAAAGTGTTGCCTTTTAGCCAGCCTGGTCGGCAGAGAAAAAATATTAAAGATTTATTCGTGTTGCTGTGTGCGGCAGCCACACTTAAGTGACATGCACCAAAGAGAATTCCCATGAACGGAAAACAGAGAATCAAGGGAATCATTTGGCTGGAGAAATTGCTGAAAAATTAGTACATTTTACCCAGCATTTACATTGGTTGGAGCACTCACACTCAAGGCTGAAAATATCGATATGATTGGGTCAATTGGCACTCAAGCAGCAAGTGCTAATGGGCACCCCCTTTTGGGATTTGCAAAACAATTTGTTCAAATAAAACTTAAGTACGTCTAGCCAGATGTGTTACGTTACCCAACTCAAAAGGTGTGTGTGTGGGGGGGGTGGTCATAAAAAAGTAATCACAAGTTGATTAACAACACTTGTGAAATGATGTCGAAAACGTGCAGCCCTGGAAATACCAGGTAGGTAATCTAATCATTGAATTGAGATAAGCAGCAACAAAAACCTGTCATTTATACCAAAAATAATTTATTAACAATTTGTTCTCCATATTCTTTGCTTAGTTCATCTGTAAAGTTAGTCAGAGGGGCGCATTTTAGGCATAGGTTTTGACCAAGAGCAGACCCACAACGCTGGCGAGAATGGTGTAGATGCTGCTGCTCACTTTGCCCGCAGGACTCTTGTTGCACTTATCCCCCGAGCAGGTTAGGCATTTGGTCTTGTTGTAATGCCCATAGGCAGGCTTCAGGCTCAAAGTGCAGGGACCCACAGCGGGATGAACGCAGCCGTGCAGCTGATGGATCACTTGATTATCTACAAACGGAACAACTCAATAAAGATATCTCTCTTTGGAGGGGCGGGGGGGGCGAATCTGCATATAAGGCTACTCACTCCATGTGTATTGCAGGGCCAGGCAATCGAAGCGAGTGCTGCTGGCATTTGCCACTCCCTGATGGTAGACCGCCAAGTGGAGGCTAGTCTCATTTGCCGCCGCATTGCTGCAGGTCGTCTTCTTGGGCTTCTTGCAATCGTTGGGGGTGGTGCAGGTATAGCACACCAACGATTCGGCTTTATTCCAAAAGATATATTCATTATACTTCTGCAGAGTTAGCCAATGGTTCGTTTCACTCACCAAACTGCACGCAAATAAAGGCAATCAGCACACTGGCAATGATGGTTTTCGTATACATTTTTTTCGAGTTTTTTTTTGCTTTGAACAGTAGTAAATTTTACGGGTTCTTTGCTCAATGGCTTTTCGCTTTTAACTAAACTTTGGTGGCAATTTCGGAATACCTTTATATCGCCTTTTTGCTCTTTAAAGGGGGAGGCAGAGTCTCAAAGTCTCTCTCTCTCTCTCTTAGTCACGGGCTAGCGATAAGCGATAAGTCCACTGCCTATGTACCATATATATTATATAGAGATTAGCTTATCGTTAATGTGGGGGTAGGGATTGACGAGTCTCTGAATGAAAAGGTTTTCCCCCAGGTGTTTTGTTTCTGGTTTCAAAATTCAAGAATACATTTTTGTATTCCACTCTTTTAGAAGATTTATTAAAAATAAATCTGAATGCGAGTCATAGTTGAATAATTGTTTAAGCTCGATAAAATCGTATTAATTTGAGTTTTAAATAATTAAATTTTGTAATAAAAATTTAATTTATTATATTTATTTATTAACTAAATCAATAATCTCACAGTTCTCTCACTCCCTTTGCTCACTCTTTATCTGGCCTTATCTGTGTCTGAGTTATCTTGAATCCCAGTTCCAGCAGCTTAGTCACAGCCTGTGAAATTGTACACTTGACTATGGCGGGGTCGCCGCCCATAAAACCCCCACGACTTATCGCTTATCTTCCACCATTGCAATATGCCAACTATTGGGAAAGCTATAACCATATAATACGCACAATTGGTAGCGATTAAAGGGGGATCTTTTTGGATGGATTGTTTTGAAGGACGTGCCAAGCGATCGATCATAAAAGTCTGGGCAAAACGAGTGACGACACACAGGCCCGAATTTCGCTCTGTGAATTTATTGTTGTTTGTATTTTATTCAAACCTGAGTTTTTGTGTATATAAAATACCCCAATAAAAATTCATAAAGAATTATCTCTCTCACTTGTTGAATTTCAAGGGAGGTAATAAGGGAAATAATAAGCCCATAAATGAGTGCAATAAATCCATGAAGATAGTTACAACAAAACATTACTAAAACAAATGAAATTGTTTGAGAATAACCAAAACAGGAAGTGGATTTCCGAGTGGATCATTCGCTGATCCCACCCATATATTATAATGTTATAATTTATATGTACAAAAACACTCTTCAAATACTCTACAAATCAAAGGTTCAGTTCGCAAAGGCTCCTAACTGAGAATCTTGGCCAGAAGCAGCGCCAGAACGGAACCAATCATGGTGTATGCACTGCCACTGAAGGTTCCTGCGGGATTCCTGTTGCAATAATCCTGGTTGCAGGTTTTGCAATTCTTGCTCCAAGCGGTCCTGTTGTCTGCGGCCGTTAGAGTCAGTTCACAGACCGTGGCATTGGGATGAACACAGCCCAGAAACTCAGTAATGCGACTGTTGTCTATTTGGGGAAATTCGGTTAAAAATTAGGACCAAAGAAGTCCTTCTAGAGGCGTTGTCATTCCACAACACTTACTGGAAGAATGGTAGTAGGTGAGATTGGTGCACAAGAAGCTCTGGCTGCCACCCACAACGGGAACATTGTTGTGCAACGTTGAAAGCCACACGCTGCTTTCATTGGCCGTGGTGTTGCTGCAGTCCTGGAGCGTGGGATTCTGGCAGGAGGCGACGTCCTTGCAGCTGTAGCAACTCAGGGAGTTGGCTAATTGTTGAATTCGATTCGATTAGCAAAAAACGATTCCTCCTGGAGCACTCAATCTAATTTTTTCTCACCGAATTGCACGCCCACAAAGGCCACAAAAACCACAGCAAAAATCACCTTCTTCCACATATTTAAATTTATTTATTTTTGTTTTTTTTCTTTTCACGACTGTTGACTGTTCGGCAAAGGAACTCTATGGATACTGAAGCGAATGCACTCCATGGCATCGCATTATGTAGGGCGGCACATTGGACGATAATAAAAACAAATAAAAGTGGATTTTATACGCCCCGTATAAAGATTAGATTTCGCTTATCTACGACCCACAACCCACATTGAGTCAGTACACATTTCCGTGGAATTGACTAAACTGCAATAAATACAATAAATGCTACAAATCTTATAGACTGAAGGAAGTACTCATAAAGGAAAGAATTTTGAAGGCAATTAAATTGAGGGCAATAGATTTCTGTTTCCATTCATTTTATTTTTCCATTCTGTTTTATAGCCATATGTATATATTTCCATATGGCAAGCGTATTCCTCCATTCGACATTCAATTGATGCCATTTGGTCATAAAAGTAATATCGAAAACATATCATAAATCATGTCTAGGTGATATGTAAAGCAATGGAAAGATAAACAGACAAAGAAGGCAGATATGAACCAGACAAAACTGGAGATTATACGAGTATTGTTCCATAGAAATCGTGAATGCATTTCGGCACGTGTGCCGCGACAAGAGCGTTACAATTGTTGGCATATTTGTTCTGTGATTGTTTCCGCTGGAAATACTGCTGAGAGGAATACCCCCTTGAATGGTCTTTCAGTGGCAATACTGAATGGGAAATATTTTTCCATGCTGATAAGATAAATGTATCTATGTACCTTCATATAGTTTCACGCAATATGATAAGAGAGCGTGCGAAAGTGACACACGACGAATTGCCCATTCAGGGTATAAAATATGCAATTAAAATTAAAGGAATAACGAAAAAATTATCTGGAATTAGTTTCGATAATTAATTAGTATTTTCATTTGCCCATAGCTAATTTAGTTAGGAAATTGAATGCATAATTTGGCATGCAATTAATACTCTTATGGAGTAATTCGAGGAACTATAAATATATTCAAAATAAATAGAAAAAGGGTTGGAATCAATTGGAAATTAAGTAAACATTGTGAAGTATATTAAATGCAATAAATACTCATCAGAGACTTACTTAACAGTCATGTTCTCACACCCGTTAAGTAGGTAATGGCTCTGTATCTTCCGCACAACTCCAGAAGAAAAAAACACGTAGCTTAGCTTGCCCACACAAATAAACTCCAGGATAATAGTCCTGCCTCAGGCAAAGGAATAATTTTCTAACTAAATTTGAAAGGGACTTTTGCCAGAGGTGAAATTGAAAATCATACATCACAATCCTGGCCATTGCCCAGGACATGCCACGAATAGCTAAACAGGCAGCAGCAGCAGCAGCCGCCTCTGGCAGGAGAACAACAGACCACAACGAGGCTAAGCCGCTGTCAAGGATGCGTGGGGGAATATTACAAATGACAGGACAAATGAGTGACTGCATGGGAAAGCCAGAATCCCGAATCAGTATCCACGCAGAGACAGAGAAAAGAGCACTCGAATTCTGTAAACAACACAAAAATAGGAAATCGCCTGCGGTCGAGATTTAAAAAAAAAAAAATACATATATATATAGCCATATACGTACGGGAATGTACAATGTTCAGATAAACAACAGAATTACAATATGCTTTCTTAAAAATTAAAAAAAAAAAAAACAGATAATACAGCACAGAGAAGAGAGTAGGAGAAAAGCGCAAGCATTGCCTGACAGGACAATAAGCAAGGATAAGCATCGAAATGATGATGATGATGATGATGAGGATGGCTAAGAGGAGCCACAGCCAGAGAGCCAAAAGAAAGACAAATACAAATACAAATACAAAAATACAAACACGGTTACGGATCTGCGACAGGCGACAATGATAGCAAAAGTCGTAGTCGTAGTCGTAGTCGGCAGCAGAGCCTTGACAGTTACATTTGTGTCCTGTTGCGGCTCACCCTGCATCCCTCCTCCTCCTCGTTCCTCATGCTGTTTGTCTTCTTTTTTGCCAGCCCTGCCTCTTGTTTCAATGGCTGTTTTTTTGTTACGGGGTTTTTTTTTGCACATTCCCGCATGCACATTGCATTCATATTCCAGTCACGTATCCTTTTTAATCCTGACAAGAATATTATTTCCATAAAAAACAGAATGAGGGAGAGAGAGAGAGAGAGAGAGAGAGGCCAGTGCCATGGCAACATCCTTGCAGATCAAGCATACGACGCGTAGGCCACCTAACTGAGTCATAGACAAGTCGGAAATGGCCACGAACAGATGTATTTAATATTTGGTTGTTTTTTTTCTTTTTTTTAATACATTTTGTTAGAATGCCAGTCGGAAATGTAACAAAAGTTTTCAAGAAAATGGCCAGCAGGGAAATTGTAGCATAAAAATAGGAAAGGAGTTGCCTTTTTGGGGGAGCACTAAGAGGGGAATTTTAGGCAGTTCTTTTCCATTAATCAACAAAATCTATCAAAAATGCAATCATTTGTGGATGTTTTTAAAAGATTTAATCAGCTGACATCAAGACCTAAAAATCAACTTCGGCTTTTTTCTTCTATTGGGAAAAAAAAACGTCCAAAATGCCAGTGTATCGAATCCTTTTTTGTTATCCGATCGACAATATTTGTTGGCCACATAACAAATTACAAAAGCTGCAAAATAATTTATTACAATCGATGCTGAATGTTGTTGGGGCAGCTGCTGCTGCTGCTGGAAAGAGAAACAGAGAGTGAGAGAGAGAGAGAGGGAGAACAACAATGTAGACTACAATGCAAACAAATCGACAAACTATAATAATAAGACAGTCCCCATGGCATGCCAGGAGATAAAATTAGAGACTGAAGCGAGGCAAAACAAGACAGGGGGGGAAACTAGACAGAACGACAGACAGACAGACAGTAGTGGAAGGAACAGGAACAGATAGCAGTAGTAGTATGTATGTTGGTGAGGGGACTGTGGGGATTGCCTGGCCCCACTCATTGCATTGTCTGCAGCAGCTGCAAAAACTTTCAACATCAATGAAAGGAAACAAACAAATTTTACATTTTCCATGTCTCGACTGCGTCCACTGGACACAGAACCAGCAACAGAAACAACAGAAACAACAATATCCATGCAACAGGAACAAGAAGAAGGCGAAAAAAGGAAAGCGGAAACGAAGCAGAGTGAAAAAAAAGGCGGAAAACCCAGAAGAAAAACAATAAGAAAACAGCTTAAGTACTGCTACAAGTCGTTAGTCGGGGTCACCATTTCAGGGTGGGGGGGTGGCGAAGGGATTGGTTGTTGGTACTTTAAAGGATAAACAATTGTCCTGTGTCCTGTAGGGTCTTAATTCTGTGTTGTACAGTGTTCAACATAATGATAGTTATCGATTGACACAATCGATTAATTGTTAAATATTCCAATGTTAAAATTAAATATTCAGATTTACTCACTTATTTTATTGGATATTCGTGCTGATCGATTTCGATATTTGATCGATTTCCATATTTGATCGATTACTGCTATCGAAGAGGTGTGAGAGCATTCCATTGGTACACATTCTTAAGTAATAATCCAAGATATTTAAGCACTCAATCAGGCGAAAATCATTTGCAGTATACTGGAATCCGCTCAAGGATATAAATTCTGAAAGTTAATAAAGTAAATTTGAATATATAATATTAAGGATGATATTCTCTTTCATGGTATATCCCACACAATCTATGGAAATTACTGATATTTCTGTGTGCTTAAACTTTCCTATACTTTCGCTACGCACCCTCCGTATTATACCCCCAACATATATGCCTCATGTCCTTGTCCTCAGTTCATTGAAGAGTGAACGTAGCAGTAGTAGCTTCAATGCAGTAACCATCTACCCATAACCGTTCAATTTGCAGTTCATGTCTTGACTTCGCTTCACCCATTTGCTTGTCTCTATTTTTTTTTTTGTGGCTCCTGCCACTTGCTGTTAACAAGTTCACGTGCAAAATTGCAATGACCCAAAGGACATGGCATTCACACATACACACAGCACAGAAGCACACCTCTTGGGCAATTTGCTGGCTAGCTAGTAACCTGCCGGGCTTCCTTCTGTCCTCTCCGACACGCGTGGTCGCAGTGCTAACTGCTTTGACAACAGCAGATGGCAAATGGGGAGCAAGCAGCAACAGCAGCAGCAGCAGGCATTCGAAAAACAAGAGGGAACATGACCAGAAACCGACTGAACGGTTGCAGCAATTTGTGGCAGCATTTAATCAACAATTAGCAGAAATGCGGGCTGGAAACCCTCCCCTAAAACACATTCCAAATTGAAGATGAAAGCCATAAGGGGGGGGGGACACTCAAATAAGAAACCTATGGCACTCCAAAAAGTCCTATTCACTTTGCATATTGCCTCATCTTGCACTTTTATTTGCCTTTGGGCCAATTATTAAGTAAATTTGCCTTCTGTCTCTGCTGAATGTCTGTGGCAGAATTGTCGATATGGATATGGTCAGAGTCTCTGTTTGGTCCGCTTCCTCTCTGCTGCACAGACTGTGTCAATATTATTTTATTGGCTTGAAGGTTTTTCTGGGTCAATTGCTTCTATTTGGAAAATGATGCATTGCCCGACCATCAATGTCATAAATGTCTTTCTTGAAGAAGTCTGATGCATCTAAGCTTGTAAACGCCATAGAGAAAACAATTATTGGCTTGAAATGGTCAATTGCAATGCAAATACACACTGAAGAGGCTATTGACTCTTGCTTGCTCTACAGAAAAATCATTTGAAACTGGCGCCCAAGTGAGTGTCATAGCCGTCAGCCTGTGGAACACCACCGTGCAAATGTTCCATGCTAACATGGATCTTCTGTTAACTATATTTATCTAAATTTCTGCCCAAAATAAATTGAAGAATAGTTGCTAAAGCAAATAAAGATTTGTGCCTTTTGCTTCAGCTTTCAAAATTGCCATAAATTTTAACCGCCAACAACTATGCACTCAGGAAGTGCCATAGCACGCAGCTTCAAGACACGCATATGTCACAGCTATGTGCTGTAAGGCGCACAACCGGTGCTGTTAACAACAACAGCGCTCTGTTAGCCAAACCACAACCAACTTATTTTTGTTAATATCTTTATAATTGAATAACAATAAACTCAAACTCCACTTACAGATCCTATCCAATCCCGCACGGCAGAGACACGAGAATATACGCCTGGATAGTCTGGCCGGGCACAGCCGTAGCCCCAGGAAACGACTCCCCAGAGCGTACCATTGGCGGCCAGCGGTCCACCAGAGTCTCCCTGACACGCATCCTTGCCGCCTTCTTGCAGACCCGCGCAGAGCATGCGATCCGTTATGGTGCCAAAGCTGCCGTAGGCCTCGGTGCACTGTTTCTGGCTGACTGTTGGCACAGTCACCGCCCGCAGGATGCTCGTCGGCTCCTGCGTGCTCTGGGTGTTGCCCCAGCCGGAGACCAGGACGGCAGTGCCATCCGCAATGGCCGCATCCTGCTTGGGCAGCCCGATAAACGCCTGCGTCACGTTCTTCTTGTCGTAGTCCTCCAGTTCCAGCACCGAGTAGTCGTAGTCGATGGTGTAAGTCTCGAACTTTGGATGACGATGGACGCGCTTGATCCCCACCAGGATGCCGCCAGTGTCTGTGCGCGTGGAGCCGATGCGCACCTTCGACACAAGAATGGCCGATCCCTCCGTGCAGTGGGCAGCGGTGAGCACCCATCCGTGCGCGATCAGGGAGCCGCCGCAGAAGTGATAGTTGCGCTGCAGCGACACCTGGTAGGGTATCGCCTCAATGGTCGTCTCCTGGCCGCCCACAATGCGTCCATCGAGGCGTGGCCGACGCGACGTTGCCGCCAAACAGCAGCCGACAAGCAGGACCAGCAGCAGCACCAGCAGGCGGCAAATGGCGGGCTGAAAGCGTGCCATGGTGCAGAGTTCCAGGCAGAATGTTGTCCCAGTCCATGCCGTTTGCGGGTTTTATAGCTTCTCTGCAATCTCTCGCTCTAATCAACTATCAATTGCTTATTCAGGGTCAATCTAGGTTGTCCACTTGGCCTAGTTCCGACGAGTTGGCACTCCATGCAATAAAAGCATTTATTGCAGCCACAAACGTTGTTATCTTAAGGGGTTACTCGGCTACAACTTGAGCCAGGTCACAAATTTATTGTTGGAGGGCATCTCCACTAGTTTCTCCAACCGCAGGCCATTCTGCGCGGCCAGATCTTTCAGATCCTTGATGTCCCGCACGCCCCACGAGGCGTTCCGCTGCCTGAGGCTGCGGTCAAAGTCCACATTGCTCTGTGGCTGCAGGACGCCGTCCTGGGCGTACGGCCCGTAGGTGAACATTTTTCCACCCTTCTTTAGGAGCACGCCGGCTGCCCGGAAGAGTCCCACGCTGCAGGCCCAGGGGCTGATGTGCATCATATTCGAATTGAAAATGTAATCGTAACTTGCGTGCTGCGGCGCCGTCTCCCAGTGCCCGGGCTCCTGTGTGATGTCCACGTGCAGAGGCGCCCGTATATTACCCGTCACACAATCGGCGGCGTATGCCGCAATGGAGGAGAACATTTCGCGAGCGTTTTCCGTGGGCTGAATGCTAATGTTGGGCAGAAAAGGCGCCAAAAAGCCGGCGTGCTGCCCAGATCCAGAGGCGATTTCAAGTAACTGTAAATTCGGTGTGGCTCTGTCCACCTGCGCCACAAGCGCATCGGCAATCGGCTGCGAATTGCGATCCGCCGATGGATGCGTGCTCTTCATGGCGCTGCTGCAACGAAGGGAAGTGTGTAAAAGTCGTTTCAGCAGACTGTCGGTATGAATATTGAATTAAATAATAAAATAACGGTACAACTAATACAATGTTTACCTCATTTTTGCAAGCGAAATTTGTTAAGTCACAGCTGTTCAAGTCACACACACCCACCATGTAGCAAATATGTAATTACTGTATAATTACCACGTAATTTGTTTTCATGACTTTGTTGTTGCTCACACAAAATTTGTATAAACAATCCAATAAAAAGCAGTACTTTAAATAAACCAGTCTTATAGAAAATTGACTGATCTATCGGATAAAATTATATGTTCATTCCTGAGCATCCTACGTAGCTCGTAATACTAAATCGAATATGAAACTCGAGGAATATCATTGCCACTTAACCCATCTTAGACCACCCACGAAAATGATAAATCTTGAGGAACTTTACCGCAGTTCAGATAAGATATGTACAGGCTATATTTTCTTGTAAGTAAGAAAGAGTTACAAAGAAAATTTACAAACCGCATTGTCCGCGTTTTAACTCAAGTTGTTAACCTGTTCAATTAGGTGTTTTTTAATAGTGGGTTAAGTGGGTTAAGGTGGACTTATTCAATACTCTTATCCAGCACTCGTCTGTTTTTTCGCGATTCTATATGCCGGCTGGCTGTGTTTCCTTTATTGTGCAGTAAATAGAAGTTAAAAGAGCAAAAAAATGTCTGACAACGACGATGACTTCATGTGCGATGATGACGAGGACTACGGTTTGGTAAGGAAACATTTCAAGGCAAATCAAAAACAGATTTTCAATGGCGTCGTTGGGTGGCATTTTTTTTTTGTGCAGGAATATTCCGAGGATAGCAATTCGGAGCCCGACGTGGATCTGGAGAATCAGTACTACAACAGCAAGGCCCTGAAGGAGGAGGAGCCCAAGGCGGCGCTGGCCAGTTTCCAGAAAGTTCTCGATCTGGAGAATGGCGAAAAAGGAGAGTGGGGCTTCAAGGCCCTCAAGCAGATGATTAAGATCAATTTTCGATTGGTAAATACGTAAAATGTGCGTATTGCGAATCTCTAATTAATATAAAGCTCCCCCAGTGCAACTATGACGAAATGATGGTGCGTTATAAGCAATTGTTGACGTACATCAAGAGCGCCGTCACCAGAAATCACTCGGAAAAGAGCATCAACTCGATATTGGACTACATTTCCACTTCCAAGAATGTGAGGAAAAATCCCATTAAATGTATTTCCCGCTCTATGTTTTATGTTCTCTGGCAGATGGCTTTGTTGCAGAACTTTTACGAGACCACTCTGGATGCCCTGAGGGATGCAAAAAACGACAGACTGTGGTTCAAGACCAACACGAAGCTGGGCAAACTCTACTTTGATCGCAGCGACTTTACCAAGCTGCAGAAGATACTGAAGCAGCTGCACCAGAGCTGCCAGACGGACGATGGCGAGGATGATCTCAAGAAGGGCACCCAACTGCTGGAGATCTACGCCTTGGAGATACAAATGTACACCGTGCAGAAGAACAACAAGAAGTTGAAGGCCCTGTACGAGCAGTCGCTGCACATCAAGTCGGCCATTCCGCATCCTTTGATTATGGGCGTAATCCGGGAATGCGGTGGCAAGATGCATCTGCGGGAGGGAGAGTTCGAGAAGGCGCACACCGACTTCTTTGAGGCGTTCAAGAACTACGATGAGAGCGGCTCCCCCAGGCGAACCACATGCCTGAAGTACTTGGTCTTGGCCAATATGTAAGTGGCTTCAAAGCCTAAAAAAAAGGGAATCCCTCTTTATGCATTATTCCTTTATAGGTTGATGAAATCTGGCATCAATCCGTTCGACTCTCAGGAGGCCAAGCCGTATAAGAATGATCCCGAAATACTCGCCATGACCAATCTGGTCAATTCCTATCAAAACAACGACATCAACGAGTTTGAGACCATTCTGCGCCAGCATCGCAGCAACATCATGGCCGATCAGTTCATACGCGAGCATATCGAGGACCTGCTGCGGAATATACGCACCCAAGTGCTCATTAAACTGATCAGACCGTACAAGAACATCTTTATACCGTTTATAGCCAGTGCCCTGAACATTGAGCCCGCCGAAGTGGAAAGCCTTTTGGTCTCCTGCATTTTGGATGAGTGAGCAGCAATCACCTTTGACCTCTTCGATGATTGATGATTGATTAATTAACGTTTCTTGTACTCGACAGCACCATCAAGGGACGCATCGATCAGGTGAATCAGGTGCTGCAGCTGGACAAGGTCAATAGCAGCGCCGCCCGCTATAATGCCCTGGAGAAATGGTCCAACCAAATCCATTCGCTGCAGTTTGCTGTCGTTCAGAAAATGGCCTAAATCTACGCCCTGTTTGTGGCTTTTAAAACCCCATTAAAGTATCTAGAATATATATCCACAATCCTTTCCTTTATTCCATGTTTAAGAAGCAGCTTCAACTCTTTCCTGCTTCCTGCCACAACTGTTGTAGATGCATACGCGGAGTCTGTAGAACCCAAAGACACAAATGGAGAAGCAGCCGACCAGCGCCACACAGCCAATGACCGTGCCAATGGCCTGACCCGGTTTCTCCCAGTCCAAGATAGTGTAAATGTAACGATTACCCTGGCTGGAAAGGGGTTAAATATGGGATGAATTCATTCGAATACTAAAAACATATCCTAGACTTACAAATCAGTGCCGCCGGACCAGAAGTAAATCAGCGAGAAGAGCCCATAGGTAATGCCCGCGGCAAAGGGATAGACAAAGTGCATAATGTGCGTGGGAAAGGCCACCATGAAGCAGTCGAAAACCATGAAAATCGAGTTGAAGGCATGGGCCCAGAGATTGAACAGCTCAGCGCCCATTTCAGGCATGGCTAGGAATGGAATCAAAGAAAATATTAAGGATCTCTGCTACCCATTCAGGAGATCTACTCACATGGATAGAGCGCTGCCCAGAACACGAGTGTTATCATCATGGCAAGCACCACAGTTGTGTAGTGGGAAAGCCAATAGATCTTGAGAGCCACGCTGCCAGGAGCTACAAGAGCAGAATGTGTCATAAAAAGAAACCTTCCATGGAGCTCAAACTCACCAAAGTACGAGGGTTTGATAAAGTAAATGGTGGCCACGACTGCTCCATAGGTACAGGCATAAAAGCACAGTGAAAACCCCCAGTGCGTGAGGTAGATAAACCAAGTGCCGCCGTTATAGTGCCTCACCAGGCTACCAATCACGCCACCGGCAAAGAACCCAGCCCAAATCCAGCGGTAGAGGAGCCACAGAATATTGCGTTGCCCGCGCTGCCACTGCGAGCGACAGAAGACACCGGGATCATCGTGATGCAGCGAGAACTTGGAGCGCTGGAACTCCTTCTTGAGGCTCAGGCAGCAGGACTCCTCACTTTCGTTTCGCATCGTATGAGGATTCGTTTGCGTTGACTGTTTCGATGGTGGAACTCGAACTTGAAGCAGGTGTGTTACAGTCCAAAAATCGTTTATGCTTATGGGATAATCAATGCGATAATCGCACCCTTTTCATCCGGTACGACAATAATAATTTACGTAATAATTTATGTATAATTTACCGCACGTGTCTTCGATAAGACGCCCCATGGACGCGTAAAGGTAATCGCTGACTTAAAAATCATTCCCTAAATGTAAAGGAAAAATTTCCACAGTATTTAGTAGGGTGTATATCCCCAGGCAAAATACTCAGCTGATTCATAGTCAAACCATAAAACTATTGGTACTCGCGGGTTTTCCTCGAATCGAACGTGATAAGAAATCCAAGAAAAAATGCAAAATGGCACTGGTAATACCCTCAAAATTTAAACAGAATCCAAGCTGGCAGTTCGGGGATTTAATTGCCAAAATTTGCTGACTAAGAATAAGCTTACAAATAGTTCTTAGAATATCTAGAAAACAAGTTCGGAATGTTGTTGCGACTCAAGCGACTTGCACTGTCTCCGTGGAGGCCCTTGTCGATGGAATCTCCTGCTCCTGCTCCTGCTTCCTGCCACAACTGTTGTAGATGCACAGGCGGAGCCTGTAGAACCCAAAGACACAAATGCAGAAGCAGCTGACCAGCGCCACACATCCAAAGACCGTGCCAATGGCCAGGCCCGGTTGCTCCCAGTCCAAGATAAAGTAAATGTAACGATTGCCCATGCTGGAAAGGGGTTAAATATGGGATGAATTCATTCGATAACTAAACCTATTCAAGACTTACAAATCAGTGCCACCGGACCAGAAGTAAATCAGCGAGAAGAGCCCATAGGTAATGCCTGCGGCAAAGGGATAGACAAAGTGCATAATGTGCGTGGGAAAGGCCACCATGAAGCAGTCGAAAACCATGAAAATCGAGTTGAAGGCATGGGCCCAGAGGTTGTACAGCTCAGCGCCCATTTCAGGCATGGCTAGGGAAGCAATAAAAAAAAACAGATATTAAGGATCTCTGCTACCCATTCAGGAGATCTACTCACATGGATAGAGCGCTGCCCAGAACACGAGTGTTATCATCATGGCAAGCACCACAGTTGTGTAGTGGGAAAGCCAATAGATTTTGAGAGCCACGCTGCCAGGAGCTACAAGAGCAGAATGTGTCATAAAAAGAAACCTTCCATGGAGCTCAAACTCACCAAAGTACGAGGGTTTGATATAGTAAATGGTGGCCACGACTGCTCCATAGGTACAGGCATAGAAGCACAGTGAAAAGCCCCAGTCCGTGAGGTAGATAAACCAAGTTCCGCCATTATAACTGCTCACCAGGCTACCAATCACGCCACCGGCAAAGAACCCAGCCCAGATCCAGCGGTAGAGGAGCCACAGAATATTGCGTTGCCCGCGCTGCCACTGCGAGCGACAGAAGACACCGGGATCATCGTGATGCAGCGAGAACTTGGAGCGCTGGAACTCCTCCTTGAAGGGCAGGCAGCAGGATTCCTGACTCGTGTCCCGCATGGTTGTGGTCGGATGAACTCGGCGTCGCTGGCGCTGGATTAGGGCTGAGAGGAGGGACCACACCAGGTGGCTGGTTCGCTGGTAGAACACGGACTGGCGTAGCCATGCGGCGTAGGCGACTGATAGCCATGCGAATGGGCCATAATTTCCGCAAATCGTTTTGGCTTGAATCGGGATGTAATCGAGGTGTGATACGAGCTCTCCTTATCAACCGTTTATTTCTAATTCAAACAGCGTACGCCCTCCAGATAAGACTCCAAAACGCGAACGTGGTCAAGTGGGGCCGGTGCTATCCACTAAAGTGGAACCGAACCCTTGGCTAGGCTGCGTGCACCAGGAAAATCCAAACCAATCGATGGCTCGTAAATATTTAAACTTATTTTGGGAATTTTCGCACATGATTCAAAGTCAATAATAAACCAATTGGTAGACCCATTCCGCAATGCGAAGGCTAGGCGGCCTTTCCATTTAGACCCGAGACGGTGATAAGGAGGCGAAAAAGAGAGAGAAAACAAACCCACACGCAAAGTATTAGACCAAAAATTGCTATCGATGTTGGAGTACCCTGGAAATCTCAATTAGCATCGATACATTCGATCGTTGGAGTGCACCAGTGGGCTTGCAAGATCATTGGCATGTAGTTTGCTTGCTTCGCAAATCAAATATACCCTCTGAGAGTGTATTTTTTATAGCACATGTTTCCACCTTTCCATCTTGCAAATTTATCAACGTTTTTTTGGGCTGGGGTATGTCCCATGTGTGCGAATGCTGATTGACGTTCGTTTCCTCTTCTGATATCTGAGGCTTTGACAATTGTGGAACTTGAACCATTCAAGTGGGTTAGTGTGACTGCGAGTGAGTGAGTGTGGCTCTTGCCATTAGGACAGTCAGCTAGATAATGATAGGACTGGTGCTCATAGGCCTATCTCTGCCGTGAATCATTGATTGTTGGTGAGAGAATCGACTACAGCAGAACAGAGCTAACGGAACACACTTACAGGTAATACAGGGTATTTACTTACGCGTATAAGTTCTAGCAATGATTTCCAGATGATGTTTTGTAATGGAATTCAAGGCATAAAAGTAAACACATGCCACATTGCCTTTCTGTTGTGCTGGCACTCGTGTGAAATTGGATCCGTTAATCTGGCCATATTTGTGAGTTTATTTCCATCTAATGTTATCTGAAACCCGTGCTGGCAATCGATCACACAAACCTCTTGCAGTTGTCAGGCGATTTCATCTTCAAGCCCAGATTCCCATCGTTCCCACCGAGAGGCTGCCAAAGTGCCAGCCAAATTGAGTCCCAATTTGGAGTGTATAATTAAATTTATGCAATAAAGTGGATATATCATCTGTTGGGGGTTTCTTCTTTACAACGATTGCGTCGAGAGACGGGGACGGAGACGTCAACGACACTTTCGACTTCGTCAATGGCAAGGTCAGATGCAAGGTTAACGAACCTGGGACCCGGTGGGCTGCTCTGCCTCCAAATATAATGCTGGCAATATATATATAATATATATATCTATATTCGTATCTCTCATATGCAAATTTAGGGAGGAACGTCAATGGGTAATCGATGCTCGAGTGTTTATTGAACGAAGTGTCTCGGTAAATTGATCCAAATTCAATTGCGAAAACATGTCCAACGATGACAAAGTTCAATTTGATGGGGCATGACCTATCATGACCCCTGCGCACTCTAACTTGAAGTATCTTGAGCTTGAAGTAACATAAATCATTTCATTTCGCTTTGAACTGCATTGTGGTACGCGATCTTGGACTTTAAGCTGAGTTCTTAGGGGTTATCTGCAGAGCGAAAGCTAATTAAGATGCAATTAGTCTGTGTTCAAGTGCCCAATGGCTCTCACTCTCCCTCTCTCTCGCTCTATCTCTTTTGTTTTATGGATTAGATAAGGTGTGTGTAGTAGAAAAGCCTTTCCTTTCGTCTATTTATACCATTGCCGAGCAATGTAGGTCAGAAAGAAATGAATATTGTACATACATATGTGTATGTACATATGTGTGTAATTCTTGGCACAGCATTTTTTGGCTGCTTTTGAAATATTTGTCTCGATAGTGATCTTAATTGGTCGACCTCTATGGCTTCAAGTTCAGTGCTGGTTAACAATGACAGAGAGATCACATGGATGTGTGTGTGTGTGTCAATATCGCATTGATATAATATCATCCATTAAATGACAATTCCCACACAGAGAGAGGGAATCAGTCCATCGTTTCTCAACTCACTCTTTTGGCTGCAGAATGTTGACTGCTCCATATTATTAATTAAATTTACGCTGTCGCTGTGGAGCCGTGGAGATATGATCGGTTATAAAGCCTGTCATGTCTATAGTTTGTTTTCACATTTCCCGTTAGGCATTCGATCAAAATAGTCCCTCGCCTCGGCTCGCTCTGTAACGCGCGCTGCTGTGCTGTGCTTTGGCTGTGTGCTCGGTCCTCCTCTCTGACCGACCGAAGTTCCGTCATTGTTTCGGCTCGGGTTCGGGGCTCCCTGCTCGACCGATCGACCGATCGAGCGATCGTTGATCGTTGGTGGGTTCCCCATATACCATATATCGATCTGGCTGTAGTCGTGTCCGAGTGCGCGTGCCAAGTGGAGCTACTATTTGCTAATTGCTCCGTTTCTTAGCTGCTGCTAACTTCCTACCCCCAGTCCTCCCATCTCGAGAGGGTTTCAGTGCTTTTTCAAGATCACTCACTGCCGCCGCGACTCCAACATCATCGCTTCCCCCCACCCCCCTTTTATATATCGCATTCTCGCTCTCTCTCTCTGTCTCTGTGTATCTTTCCTTCTTTCTCCCTCGGTGTTCGTGTGAGTCGTAAACATAACTCAAAGCTCTGGTTTAGTCAGAGGAGAGGGAAAAAATAAAAAAGGCCTTTTCGGGTACGTCAGCCAGTTGCCGGCTATACGCGACTCACGTCGGAGGGTCTGGGTCTGGGTCTCTTCCTCAAAATTCTGTCCCGCGATACAATCAAAAACCATACAAAAAAATATGCAACTTTTCGATGACTTCTGCAAGAGCTTCAACAAGGAACTGCAGCGGGAGAATTTCTGCTTCGCATACAAACGCGTGCATCTGTTCTACCGATCGCAGGTGAGGAAAATGTGAGGTGTGAGGTGTGAGCTGTGCGGTGGAATAACCCCCCAACAGCCCATGTGTGGTACGAGTATCAGAGTTCGGCAGAGACAGCAGTAGTGCAGCTACGATCGTAAGTTGTAACGATCGTGAGATCATTTCCCTGGGGGAAACTTTAGCACGTGTTTCCAAAGTTATGTGAGTGGAAAGAGTGCAGCAACAGGCCACAGGCACATGCCACAGGCCACTGGCACAAACGTAATGTGATTGATTAACCAAGGTGATCTAATCAATTTTTATTATGTGAAACAAATCAAAAGTTGATTATTCCTGTTGTTCGATTCGATGCGATGCGATTCGTATATATGTATGTATATTCAACGTGCAACGTTCGACTGTGTTACATAAGGCGAAAAAGGCAGTAACTACCGAGTTCTCACATAGAACAATTAAATGGATAAAAGCTGTCAGCCAGAAAAGCGCTTTTAAGACAAACAACTAACAGATGAGAGATATCAAAGTGCTATGAAAAAATCTTTATAATCCAGTGTGAAGTTCAGATCTAAATCAACAAACAACAGGGAGGCACACTCGAATGAATGGAAAGCACAACGGATCAAAACTTAAACCACATTAACATTAACCCACATGCGTGCGAAGCAATTAAAGAATTTAATTTCATAACCTAAACCCAACTACCAACGGAGTTCTCATGGCACAGAACACAGTATGGAATGAATGGGAAAGCTAAACAGAATTTCTGGCACTAAAAGCTCTGCCCAAACTAAAGTTAACGATGACAAAACAACCTCCCAGCTATCTGGATAAATGCATTATAAACAAAATGTGATAAGGACTGGCAGCTTTTTAGACATTTCATTGTCATGTTGGGCAAAAAGATAACACAACTAAAAAGCACAGTTTCAAAGTACAAATTCGTAGAAGAACATTCTGAATCATTGTGCAAAAAACAAAAAAAAAAGTACCCAATTGGTAGCGCCCCCCAAAAAGAATGCGTAGAATTCGAATCAAAACAGGAACCAGACAAATTCTGTGATAGTAAGGTTCTTATCAGACTTCAAACAAATGCCCACCATAAATATTCCCTCCAGAGGCGATGCGTAAATTGTAGCGTAGATGCCAACGATTTGATTTCCGCAAAAATTTGTTCGACTTCACATCAAACTAGTTTGATTATTATGATGATTATGATGATTATTACACTTGCGTAAACAGAGATTTTGTTTTGATTTGCAAAGAAAACAAAATGTGACTCGCTTTATGGGGCCCCCATAATCGTGTTGGGTGGGGTTGGCCTGCACAAGCTGCCTGCCTGCCTGCCTGCCTGCCTGCCTGCCTGGCTACGTCATTGTGTGATAAGCAAAAATGTGGCAGAAGCTGTCATAAATTATTATACTATACTACTAGTATTTGTTTGTTTTATGACGACCGACCAAAAGGTCTGGAATATTTAATTAAGTAATTACATAATAGAAACACACTAAAGATCATCGTGTAAAAACAAGTAAATCTGCGATAAGGATTTGTGGAAATTTTACGTGCCTACAACAATGTCGAGTGCCTTTTTAAATGGGACTTACTAATTATAATGATGGAACGAACCTGGAATACATATTTTAAATAATTAAATCAAAGATCATGGCGTTAGGGGCAGACATCTGAACCCCTGCGATAAGGATTTATGGGTATTTGATTGTAAATTGCAAGCAAGTACAAGATCTGCAATAATGCACACGAGCCAGAGATTACTTGTACTTATATTGAACCTTCATATAACATTTAAGCGATTGCAGTTCTCTTACTTAATCGATTCCGCTTTCTTTCTACTCCAAAAAAAAACTCTGCTCTCAGTGGCAAAAGGATGACACGAACGCACTCTACCTGCTCTATCGATGGATATGGGCGCTGTTCTTTCTGGGCGTCTATATCATGTGCATTATCGTGCAGTTCTGCGATGGAAAGTTCTTCATTTACATGACCAACTGGGGATATGGTCTGTGCACGATCACCATGCTCATTGCCGCAGTGCAGGTCACCTGCTGGCACTACGATCTAAGGAACACCCGGAGCCTAGTGCAGGAGTCGGGCAACAAAACGGAAACCACAAGGGGACTGAAGATCTACTGGTGGCTCTACAATATGACACTATCGCTGGCGCTGATCATATCCACAGTCTACTGGGTCTTCCTGCATGGCAAAATGAGTGAGTAGACAGACAGATCATTGGATTACATGAATGGGATGTAATGGGATGGGATGGATTGAATTGCTTCTATTAACTTGCAGATAAACCCATGCGTTTTCCGGCCATTAGCGTTATTACCCATGGACTGAATACGGTAATGATGCTGATCGATTTCCTGGTCGTGGCATTTCCGCTGAGGCTTCTCCATGTGGTATACAGCATGGCTCTGGCGATTATGTTCTTTGTCTTCACCCTCATCTACCATTTCTGTGGTGGCACAGATGAGTAAGTGTCGCACCCGCATATACATACATATATCTTGTTGTATAATTTTCATTGAATTTTTTTTTTCCCCTGCTCACATAGATTTGGCAATCCCTATGTGTATCCCATATTGGATTGGAACAATCCCACACGCTGTCTGGTGACATTTGTGGGCATCTTTGTGCTGATCATGTGCTACTGGCTGCTGCTCTTCGGCGTCTACAAGCTGAAGAGAATGTTCAATAGGGCCTTCAGTGTGGTGTGGACACCGCATGCAGTTGGTCTCATCTGAGCACATACATCTACGAGCACTAAGAGACCTAAGTATCACCAGCATTATACAACCCTCACGTTTATATAGCACACTCATATACTGTACACATCTATGGCGAGCGCCACACTCTTACACATTAGCATGCATTTATTTATATATAGATATATATTTGTACATCTAGTATTTGATACAATAAGTTTTAATCATCTGGTTCCTTAATGTCGAAGCTACATACACACATCATATATCATATCATATCAGATTAATTGGTTTAGTTAGGCTAGTGAATAAGCAAAGATCTGGTTACTATATATGAATGACATACATTGTAGTTATATAGTGTATACATAGATATGAAATTTGTTGAAAATACTCTATGCATTTGGTACGAGTAATATGAGAAATTTGAAATTGTATAAAGAAATGGCGAGAAAATGCAGATAGCAGATACAAAAATAAGCATAATATCGAAATAAATAGAAATCAAAGCTGACAAGATTTAAGTGAAGAATATTTAAGACAAATTTAACATTACAAAATGTCATATAATGAATTTTAAGCGATGTACCAAACTTTTAAATGATTAAAAGTCTGAATGGAATTTAATTAAATTAAGTTATCAAATTGGATGCATTGAAGTGGATTATTGAAATGAATTCATTAAGCTATGAAATCGATCCTTTGTGTGCTTAGCAAATATCCCAATGTATATACCCATATTATACCCCAATTTATATAGCCTAATGTTCCATTTGAAGTGGAACAAACAGGTTCAATGACACACACACACAGAATTGGGTAACGGATTGGGTAATTCTCATTTTCGGGTGTGTTTCGCTTTAATTCTTACTCCAACCCAATTCCAAGACTTACCTTACTCGATTCTTGTTCTGCCTTTGTGCCAGACGTTTTCTTTGTAAATTCTGGTAATTAGATTTCAAGACCATCGCCTCGTGTCTGTGTGTGTGTGTGAGTGTGGCACAGCTGTAAGAAAATAATGGAACAGTAATCAGAAGCGGAATAAGAATAGGAAATTTGTTTAAGACATACCCCACACACACTCACACACTCTGCTCCTCTTCCTCTATGCATTTGGCAAACTGTACGAAAAGACTTGCTGTTATTCTTCCAAACATTTGCCAAAAAGAAACACACACACACACACACTAAGATAAACGAGTAATTAAGCTCAGACGCGATAAAAGAAGAAGCAAAAAGGCAGAAAAACAGAGCCAAAAGCAAAGAGTGCTGAGGCATCGCGTCGTGTTTTATGGCTTTTATCGTTCTGTCAATATCTTGGCAGCAGAAGCTAAGATCGGTACTTGTTGTGTTACGACTAGAATACACCCAAGTAACGGGGCCAAGCCCCCTCTCACAGTACAGAGTGCCAAAGAGGTAATTTCTATTCAGCCTTTCATGCTGAAATATTTATCCAATTGGGTTTAATTTTAGTCGGGGGTTTTTTTAGAAGAATGTCTGCATGTACACATGCATCCCCTGGAAGACTGTATACCCCCCTGTACCCTATAGCAGCTGGAGCGCACATAAAACTCAACCAACCACACGAATCGCTCACCTGGCGGCTGCGGCTGCGTTCGTGCTGGTAGTCGGCGTAGCAGCAGCAGCACAACAGCAGCACAGCAGCAGCAGCACAGCAGCAGCAGCAGCAGCACAGCAGCAGCACAGCAGCAGTACAGCAGCAGCAGCAGCCGATTCTTACGATATACGAGGCCTGACTTTACGATATCCAAGCAATATACGAGGCTCGGGCCTGGAGACTCTACGATCAACTTTAAAGCCACGACAAGCTTGGAGGGGGATCAACGATCATTTTTATACCGTGCGTCGCAGCGAAAAGTCGTGATTTCGGATAGTCTGTTGTCTCTGCACTACGAGTAGAGTATCTGTTGGATGGTTGATGCGTGTCGCCTCTCTCCACTATATCCAGTGAGATGTTGTTGCCTTTTTTTTGGTTCTGGTGCATTGGCGCGTGAATGTTGTTGTTGTTGTTGTTGCAGTCATCGTACAACTCGAAAATATGTCTAGATACCGTTATGCAAAGTTGTTGTTGCTGTTGCCATTGGTGACCCAAATAGAAATTACCAACCGGGCCAAAAAAGACAGTTTAGACAGACAGACAGCCAGACAGCCCACAGCCAGCCAGCCCCCAGCCAAGCCCCGCGTATAATCCGCGTACAACAATAAAAATAAAAAATAGCAAACAACAAAAAATAAGAGTTTGTGGCAAAAACAAATAAAATAAAAATAGCTAGAAAAAAATATATTCACTGTCTAACAAAATGAAGATTGTTACCACAGCGGATCGGATCTCTTGCGAATTTCTTACTTTATTCTTTTTGTGGCAAGATTCTGGCATTTGAATTGTTGATGTGTTTTTTCAGTTGTCATGGCTTTACTTCTGTGTGTGTGTGTGTGTGTGTGTGTGTGTCCCTTCTGCAGAAGTAATAAAAAGTGTATTTATTCTATTGGAATTTACTTAAATTGAAATTCTTTTATTTTCTGGTTAAAGTTTCTACTTCTGGAGGTTTTCTGTGCGTCGCATACGAAGTGCCCCATTGTACGTAGGCACACTTGAAAATAACAGGCACGTTCCGACACATAAAACGTTAATGAGTAAACCCTCCGAAAATACTACCCACAAATGTGAACAATTATAAATTTCCTGTGCAAAGCGAATTTGGATACGAACTAGTTGAAGGTGAGTGTGTGTATTTCAAGCTACATATGTAAAAGGTGCCAAAGGTTGTTTTATTTATGGTAATCTAACGTGATAATCTAATTTGTTGATTTGCATTGGCAAAACAAGTTTTCTCCGCTCGTGTGCTGCTCTTTTAGTTGCGATTCTGAGCGGGAATCTCTAAGTATTACCCTTCCCCAATTAACTTTTACTTCTCTGGCACCTCCACTGGAACATATTATTTTCGTTTCAATTCAATAACTGACCTTGTTCAATCGCCACAAATAAAAAGACACACACTCCAAACTCCAGTCAACTTAAATAATAGATAATTGAGTGCTTGCCCGATCTCTGCCCTTCCTTCTACATATGTATAACATTTCTATTGGATAACTTAATTAGCACTCGATAATTGACTCAATATTTATGGCATGGAAGTAAAATCGTTAAAACTGTTAACTGTTTTCGAGCCATAAAATGCTCCATAATGCTCCCCAAATGGAACAATTAACGGCTATACTGTGGTGTGGTTCTTAACTTATTAATCATTTTACAACGCATTTCTGTCAACGCAAAGCAAACAAACAACACAATAATCGTTAGCCAGCAATTGTTGGGTTCGTCCCCCCCCCATACCAATCAGGGTTTATCAATGGAATAATTAGCGTCTAGTCTAAAAATGTTTACTAAATAAAACTCAAGAATTTTGATGATCCACTTGAGAATGAAAGTTTTTTTTTTGATTTTATTTGCATAAGAAATGCCTTTGATTTCACTTTTGTTTGAGACCCCCGAGATGATTGAAAAGTGATTGACAAAAGATTGTGAATTAATCAAGAGCAGCGCGTGACGTGTCTTATCTAATCGGCGAGCAGATCTTGATAAGATCTTGGCCGTGTCTGAAGCTATTTTAGCCATTGCCTTGCCATTCACCCGAGCGGTTTGACTGCATTCAATACGACAAAAATTATTTACACAGCTCCCAAAGGTCAACGAGTTTTGTGGGTACAACTTCGGGGGCTATAAACCTATATATCTTGCTGTAGACCTGGAGAGTACAGTAAGTTTCACAACGGTTTTGTTTGGCTGCCAATGGTTGCAGGCGGCTAGTCAGCAAAGTAGGTCTGCAGAGTTTACCTTCAACTGTTTTACCATTTCGATACGCACTGTACACATCTGTTGTATGCTTTTCTGGCCCCCTTTTTGAGTCGACACAAAAAAAATGTAGCACAAGCGACAAGCGCGACCCCGCCGAAAAAAGCGTGTAAATACTAGACTCCAATGTGAGTAGTCGTAGTAAATGGCCAAACAGTTTGTTAGCCATGAGCCCCCCCGCACCCCCCCGCACCAACACTTCCCCAGTCAAACACCTCTGGTGGGTAGACACGCGTTTGCCTGTTGAAAAGTTTCATTAGCGTGCCGTTCGTGCAAGTTCAGGGACACTGAACATCATGTGTAGTAGTCGTAGTAGTCGTCGTAGTCGTATAATAGCTCCAGAGCGGCGGTAATTATTTGTTAGAGAAGTTAGCTGCATATAACCAAATGAAGTTGTCTGGCAAAATATGTTTTAAATGGAGTTGCGAGTGTCTAAAGAGTGTCGGTGCAAAGAGCAGCAGTACCGAGCACTTGTAGGGCAATATCTAATCACAAGTGAGACGCCCCAAGGTTGCCATAACACTTTAGTGTTGCCTGTCTATGTATATAATAAATTACCCAACTCTTTTGGGGTGTCTGACCTACACCTCGATTTCAAACTGAACTGCGGAGAACCTCTCTCTCTCTCTCTGTCTCCCTCTGTGTCAGTGTAGCTTTGTGTTTCGCCTCATTGCATCGACCTTAGCAAGCTAATTGTCATATTTTGTTTAAATTCATATTTTCAGTGCTGCAATTAACAATCCGCCCGACCAATGCCAAAACAGCTGCGACTAGGGTTCATATTTCGCTATATGTATATAACTTTAGTCTAGCGAATAATTATTCAATGGCTACGACAATGGGTATACACACAAGTCAATAAAGCGGTGCAGCGAAGCGAATGAACTTCCCAATAAATTGATCCATAAATGATGAGCCGCCAGACCAATGCACTCCATAAAATTGTATGAATAGTCCGTCCTATAACGGCAGCATTATCAGCATGATTAAACAGACTGCTCTTGACTGCTCGTACTTGCCTAGTTTAATGTCTGGTTTCAGGTCAGGGCAATGGGCTGCGCATGCGCAAAGGAAATGAATTAATGTGAGGGGAAAACAATCATTTAACCAGTCCCAGAATCAAAATTGTGTGTTTTAATTGGAATATAAAGCTTATGTTGAGACAATAAATTTGGAAATTCTATTCAATGCATATGCCCTAAGGCTTCATACCCCCCGACTCTGCATCGATTTTAAAGTCTGGATGCACCTTACGCAAAATATCTTTGGCCTTGTCATGATCGGCCTTTCCCAGAACCCCCGATTTGCCATAGAGCTTAATGTACTTCTTTTGCGGATCATAAACGAGATAGCCGCCGCCGAGGCCCTGGGTGCACAAGCCCAAGCCGGCTGCCTCCTTCTGGAGTTTATCATAGACATGCACTGAGGGAATTGATACACATATACATATATCTTATAGATGCCGAAAGACTTTCCAACTCACGATGGTACTTGGCTCTGGGACTGCTGCGTATCACCTGCTTGGCACTGCCCATCATGCCATGGATATAGACATGGGACAGCACATATTTGTTCTTTCCTGCCTCCAACTTGGTCAGGGGAAAATTGATCAGGGCGCGCACTGAACTATCACAATACAAACGGGTAGCAGCTGTCCATCCCCACAAGGAAAATATATATTATTCCCCATCTATTCCATATCTATCTACGCTTTGATTATACTTACCCTGCATTAGAGGACGCCAGGTGGGCGCCAGCAGCTTTCGAGTTATATCCATATCGAGAAAGTATTTTTCTGGGATTTTTCAATTTTGTAGATGTTGACGACACAGAGATAGGACAGGCTTTGAATGAAAATGAATTGGTTGTGTTGACGGGGCGGATGACTTCTCATCGACTGTGTACTGAGTTTGGAAAAAGAAAGAGTTTTCCAATTGAATTTGTAGAATTACAACAAAAGCGCATAAAATTGCCAAATAAATAATAAATTTATAGGCATAAATAAATAAATAATCCCTAGCCATGCAACTAAATTAACTGCTGATGTTACATAGATGACCCATGCAAAAGGAATATAATTAAATAAATATGCAACGGCCAGCTGGTTGCATCTGGGATCTGTATGACCCTTTGACCCTTACAAGTGTACGCGTAGATTAGATAAATAATTTATTATCTACCAAATAAAATCAGCACGTAAGAAAACTCTCAAGTATTTACTTCTCCGAGCTGTGGTTCGTTCTCCGGAGCAACATCTGCACGTTATTTTTGTTGTGGTGCTGCTTTAATTGAACTAACTAAAAATATATACGAGTATTCACGACTAACTAAACTAAATTCTAATTTATTTTCGCATTGTTTTCCAGATCGTGATAAGCGCCCAGAGCATGGCATCAGAGCCAACCGTTTGCATTGCATAATCCCTTGGAGAACTTAACAGTTGCATGCATCAACGGCTTACGTAAACAAACATACGTCTAAGCCGGCAAGAGCCAAGCAAATAAATAGTTACAGACAGAAGCTAAACAAGATGAGCAAGCTGCAGGTGATAGTGCAACCCGTGAAGAAGGAGTTTGCACGCAAAAGCTGCGGCTTTGATCATGACACGCCCGATGATTTTGTCAAATCGCAGGTAAGAATTCTACATATAGAAAGACAGACAGATAGACAGACGGACTCAAGTAACACCAATGAGAAAAACAAATACTGTAAAGTTAATAGCTCTCTAGCTCTAGCTGTGGCGGATACGGCCTTGAGCACGCCACAAAACGCCCACGACTGACACGCACCTGAGGAGGTGGATTATTTGTATTGCACTCGGTGCGGGTCAATGTACATGATGGGCATTTTAAAATGCCTCTTGGCAGTGGCAGCAGTTATAGGAGACTGTACAGAACAGAACGCTGGCCAGTTCCAGCTAATCCATCAATATATCCTTGAGACTTGGCTCCATTGACTAGTAGTACCCCCAATTCCCCAAGTGTAAAACAAAGTGGGCGTTTTCTTTGCTCGCTTTTGTTTTTTTCAAACCCATTTTCTGTGTGGCGGACTACGGACTACGGACTACCTTGAGCATATTTGATGACTTCTTCCATGCCCAGTATCAATAGAGAGTGACCTCTCTCTCGTTCTGGGCACAAATATAACCACACACACAATACATATTATATTGTGCACGACAGTAAAGTTTCTCCCTTCGCACAGCGATTGTTCCAGCATTTTAAATTAAGCCATTGAAATATTCATAAGCGGGGCAGACCATCACCAACTGTCGGACAGAGCCATGGGTAAATGGGTAGAATATTAGGTATAGGTAAAACCCATTATTATATGCTTCACACGACGAACTTTTAATTTTTTAATCGATTGAATACAGCTGATAATTGTCGCTAAACTGCACTTTGCACCAAGTAAAAGCCCCCGGAATAATCTTGGAATTTTGATCTATTTTTATTTTGTAGTGGCAAACGTGTACCAAGAGCATAGCATATTTATTCTATCGCTGGTTCATGGCTCTGTTCTTTGTGGGCGTGGTAGTCGAGTCCATGTGGCCATTGGCAGATGATGAATACAGCTATTGGCTGTACTTCATCTACATGACCAATTGGGGCATTTGGATGTGTATGCTGACGAATCTATTGGGTGCCATACTAGTCACCATTTGGCACTATCATCCAGAATATGCGGGTAAGTTATGCATAAATATATAAAGTAGATTTATGGGGCTATAATTCTGTTTGATTTTCATAGATAAACTTTTGAATGTCCAGAGTTCCTTTAGTTACTTTCGCCTGTACTGGGGCATGCACATCATAACTCTGGTTCTATCCATTGTCATTACCATTATCTATTGGACTATACTGTATGATGGTGAGTTAAGTACTGAGGGATATTATCTATATGAACTGAAAACATTGTTCTTTTCTCTTTTCAGCTAATGAGAGCACTTTGGATGCCACGAATGTGCTCACTCATGCCTTCAACTCGATTTGTATGTTCATCGATCTGTGGATTGTGGCACATCCGCTGCGGCTGCTACATATATTTCTACCAGTACTATTCGGCGTCATCTATGCCATCTTCTCGTACATCTATCATGTGTGTGGCGGTATTAACAAGTGAGTGAAGCAACCACCCACCATCATTCAGCATCATTCAGCCTCATTCTTTTCAATCTGTTCATTCTGCAGGAAAGGCAAACCTTATATCTATCATGTGATCGACTGGACCAAGCCACAGAGCTCCTTCATCACAGTTCTAGGGGTTCTCATCCTTTCCTGCTGCGTCTACGTCCTGCTTTTCGCTTTCTTCAAGCTACGAATGTTCCTGCATCGACGCTGCCAGAGAGCGAACTTCGTTTTGCCCACAACTGGCAATAAGATGAATGGCTCAGCGGATGACAAGCAAACAGGGAATGGCATACAGCACTCGCCCTCCCGCATATCCATGGTGCTGGGCAATTTTGCTGGCTACGAGAACCAGGCCTATGCCCCCAGTGTGGGCGAGCAATCCAGTAAAAAATAAACTAAGTTCAACTAATCGAAGCTTTAGTCGCTTTAGTCAAATTCTGTAGAGTGCTGTAGAATGCTAACCAGTGATATTATGTTTTATAGATCATTTTGTTCTTAAGTAAATAAATATTATAATGTGGGGGATTATAAGTTGAAATATTCTTTGAAATATAATACAAAATTCGAGCTATTTTCTGCCCATTTGGATGTCATTTTCCTTGGCACCAAAATCCATATTTAAACGCGATGACAAATAACAAACTGAGTTCCCATCAAAAATTCCATAAAATAATTAAATGTTCAAAGGAAACAAAACATGTTTGTTCTCCCTGCCAAAGAGCCTTGGCGCCTCGTTCCGCCCTTTGGGAACTTTACAGTTGATGATCAAAAATTTATATTAAACTGTCACATTATAGTCGGGGGCTATCTTGACCCTCTTCCATGGGGCGGCCACACAGTTCTCGTGCACTCCACATGCCCAGATTCAGAGAGGCAAATTTTTTGTTGGGTTTGAGATGTGTAAATATTTTAGTATATTCCCTAATCACCTTTGAATGACTTTATTGGCCCAAATACATGGGCCACGCAGGGGCCAATAGACCAGCAAGGACATGCTTAATTCTGATTAGGTGAAACCTATAAATAAAAGGTGAAGGATGGCCACAGATTGTCCTTGCGAGAGAAAGAGATGGAACGGAGATTTTATATATTTTGAGTATAAATTTTCAAAGGTTTTTATGGTTATTGAAATTCCCCTATAAATCCCGTATATTTATTTTCTTTCCTTCGATTCTTTCCTCTGCCCCATACGGAGTTCTAATTTAGCTCTTTCAACACCTTCACTTAATCCCCATTGAAGACAAGTCAACCTTCGCGATTGTCCTTAATCACAGATGTTTCGGTTCGTATTGCTTAACCCAAAAATGCTCAACCAGTGACCACACCTTGCCATGGGATTATGTACATATTTAAGGCAGAAAAAGCACCGTAGCCTTAATTAAGTCTCAAAAAGGCATTTAATAACCAAACGCCCCACCGGACGGACTCAAGGACGCGCAAGAGACACGAGGCTCGGTACTCGGTCCTCTGTCCTCGGTCCTCGATGTTATGGTCATTGCGAAGGCTTTACTTTACTCATAAGTTGGGAAAATTCAGGCTTCAACCCAACGATTTGGGAGGTGTGGGTGTGGGGTACGGGTACGGGTGTGGGTGTCAATGTCAGTCTGTGGGATATATGTATGTAGTATGGCTGTTGGTATTATCTGTGTCGTGGCTGTTGTCGTTGTTGTCCTTGTGTCGACGGGGCACATGACATGTCCACGAATTCCAACAAATTAGGCGTCGCATCTGTGGTCGGCCATGGATCGATATGAGACCAATTTGATCGATATGTAATTTCCTTGAGCTTTGAACTTCCTTGCGTGTCCTTGCCTAAGCCTAAGCCTATGCCCCCAAACCCAAACCCAGACCCAGTCCCAGTCCCAGTCCGAGACCCCTGGCCGGTATTACGAGTATTTCAAAAGAACCAAATAAAATCAATAGAATTTTAATTGAACTGATTTCGGAAATTTTGACAGCTGTCATCTGTCAACGCTTCTGCCCTGCCCTGCCCTGCCTCTCCTTCGTCACACAAAGCCGAATAGAGAAACTTAATAATTACAGTCAATTATTGTTGTGAAATATTAATTGAATGCCTTCTGCCTTTGCTTTCACACAAATGGCACATCGCAGAGGAGCCCTTGCTCTATAGCACTATCCTGCCATCTTTCCCCTTTATGGGGTTTATCAATTTGGGGGAATATTTGTGGAGTGTGTGTGTGTGTTTGTTTTGTCAATGTGTTGTGGCATGATTGCGCAATTTTTACTGCCATCAGGCTCATGAAAGACTCTTTCAGAATGGAACAGAACACATCCTACAAACACACAAACATAGTATATATTATATAGCTCAAGTCATGATAGGTGAACGATTTGTTAGCACACTCAAGGGCATTTAATTAGATAGCATTTTTAATTTTAGGCATACGACACTTGCGACACCTTCCAAATTATATTTTGGATCATTTCATGCAATAATTGGAGAAAATTTAAATAAAAATATAAAATAAATGAATGTATAAAATAAATAAAATATAATTACACTTTCGGAAAAATGACATATGCAGTAATATATAATAATAATATATACGTTGTAGAATATACTAAAATTTTAAGAAATATATTTCATTAATATATGAAAACATTTAATTTTATTTAAAAAATATTTGATTTAATTTATATACAATTAAATGTCAAAAACACTTTCTATTTAATTAGACCACTTACAATTTCCAATCTCGTAGCAAATATATTGGTATATATTTGTGAATTTAAGCGTAATGCCCAGGGCTTTTTTCTCTGAGTGTACAAATCTGATCTGATCTCCAAATATATGTACATAAAATATATAACAAATAAATAAAATTAAATAAATAAAATAAAATAAATTAATACTTTCATTCCATTGCATTCGATATTCGTTGCGATATACCCTAACAGCCTGTCCCTAGCTGTTGCCTGTTTTTTTGGCCTCTCGACTTGAACAGCTGCACGTCAAAGGATTTATTTAGATCGAAAAAATATGAAACAAGCGACCCAAACAAAACAAAATGACAAGAACAATCAACATGGAGGACGGGAAGCACCAGCACCAGCACATCACGCCAAACCGAAACAATGGCAGGATGGTGTGGCAGGGTGGAGGGGCTTTAAAGTATTCCACAAAGGGCTGAACATGTGTGTTGCTGGCTGGGTGGTGTGGGCGCTGGGTGGTGCACCTCTATGAGAAACGCACCGCTGTGCGCTGGCTCCAGGACACTCCTCTCGGACAGGACACTTTGTTTGGGGCGCATAAACAAATGGCGGCGGCCCAAGAATGACACAGTCGTGGAAATGGCAGTAGAATGGTGCGTGAGTTTTCCAGCCAGGGGCCAAGAAAATCCCAACCGTGATAGATAACCCCCCCGCACACCCACTCAACCCACTCAAGCCACTCCAGCCACTCAACCCACTTGCTGTGGCACACCACGCGACTGGAAGCGAATGTGGATAGTCGTGTGGCATGTGGGGAACGGAAACCCGCTGGAATTCATAAAGTATTCATTAATTGGAAAAGCGCGCCTGGTCGACCCGTTGACTGAGTGACCGACCAAGTCCAGTCCCGACTCTCGACCAGACGGAATCGGATTCCGATTCGGATTCAGAATCGGAATCCACTCGCAGAGCTACCCAAGCCGAGTCATTTGTCAATTTTGAAATTCAGTTTCGTTTCGGACGTTCATCGAGCAGTACGTGTCGCCCTCCTGGTTTGTTAAGGCCCACCCGCCCCTCCCCTCCGGTGGAAATCAGAACACAAAATCAGAGAGTACGTGGCAGCATAATACCGGCGGCAGTGGCACCCGTTCTCGTGCGTGTTACCAACCATAAAACCCCCTTCCCCACCCCCACTAGTATCCCAGAGATACCCAACAATAAATACATACTTATAAATATATACTTATAAATATATATATATATATATTTACATGTTGCAATGTGCAAAACATTTGTGGAATTTTAGAACAACAAATTTTCCGTTGAACAGCAACACACCACCTGTTTTTCCTTGTATACGAAGGCGATAATAATATTGCCGGAGTGCAACAGTGCAACGGCTGCAAGAGGTGTGTGGTGTGTGGTGTGTGCCCGCCGGGCTGCATGTTCTGCTGCTGCTTCTGGTGGTAGCTGTTGATGTAGATGCGTGGTAGGGAAAACAGCATTGCGAAAATTCAGCTATACTGGCCACCGAATGGATAATGGGTATTTGTTTAGACACAGGTGAGTAATGCCACATGCACCACATGCCGCCCCGGCCCCCTACAGGAGATTTGTAATCACTGATTGTTGCTTGGCCTCTCGAAAAAAATACAAATACCCCTAATGAGTGGCATTGAACACGCCAAGGGGCAGCCATACGTTGCGGAGTGTGGGAGTGGGTAGTAAAGGACTTTTCATTACGACAGAAGCGGCGATAAATACTATATAAATTAATAAATTGGATTAGTATATTTTTTGGCTTTCTCTTGATTGCGATTTGAGAGCTAGTCATATTTTTTGTAGCATAATTTTGGGAGCTGCAAATAAAAAGGGGGGAAAAAAGGCAACCATTTTATGGATATTGAGATTTCTTGCGTTTCTTTATCTTAGATCTTAATCTTATCAATTAATGATATTCTTGGCATTATTCATAATTATTCACAATTAAAATATCTGCTAGAATTTTCGCTTATTTAATTTTTGATATTTAAATTTGAAGGAAGATCCTTAAGCTTTTCTTTTCTGTTACAACAGAACAGACAGACTCTCTCCCTGGCCATAGCTCTGATGGAATATTAAATTTTCATATTCAATTGTCCATTAGTCGAATGGCAATTACAATTGAAATTGCTGCAATCATTTCTCTAAAACAATTATCTGTGACAAAACGATTTTTGAATGAAATCTACACGCGTATTACGTATACGGTATGTAATGTACGGATGATAGCGCGGACCTTGCCAGCGGACAATGCTATAATTTCAATCGGAACTTTGGGTCATTCGCTGCGGCCTCGATGGCTGCCCATATCCTTGGACATGTACGTTGACCACCAAAAACCCCTGCACACATAAATTCCGAAATGGCGCGCGTCACCCACAAAACGAAAAGGGAGGGAAAGCGGTATAAGGAAAACCATGAAAAACCATGAAAAGTGTCGCCGACACACAGGCTGAAAGGAGATAGCAACAATAACAAAACATGTCAATTAAATAAAACTGCAGGAAAATCAATAAAAATGTCACACAGGACTAAAGCCAGAAGCCAAAAGCCAAAAGAGACACAGGACACCACTGGACACGACTGGAAATATGCGAAATTGCCTCACGCGAAGGTGGTTGATGGGGTGGGATAGGACAAACAGGTCCTGGCATTGCCCATATCTACATACATATGTATATGGCTACAGCTTTGATAATGTCGCAGCTGATTTTCCATGAATGAATTCAGCGATGACGCAATTCTATAGCAATTCTAGTATAGGCGGTTGCTATACAATTAAACAATTGTTAAACATGTTTTAATGATGTGTTTTGTGCGATTTGTCGCCACTCCCCTCCCAACCCCACACTATGCCAACTAATTTCCTACTTCTGGCAAATTACTTCCGACCTCTCGAAGGGGCATGCAGACTAATGCCAAACTGGCACGAGAGCCTCTGAGCAGGCGAGCAGCTGACGCTAACTTGCCAACACATCCGGTTTCCGCTTGACTAATGGCCACCACACCGCCCCCCATTCAGCCCATTCAGCCCATCCATTCGCTCAGGGTCAACTGTTGCTCGAATCAATCAAGTTCTAGGAGAAAGTTAAAGTTGTTCCTTTTCTTTTTCGATAATTTTTATTGTAGATGCCAGCGCGGCACAAGATACCGGCGAACCAGGCAACGATTGGAATCATACACGGAATCGGAATGGCCAAAATTCTGGCGATATGGAAGCCGCTGCAGTAGCGGCAGCGGCAGCAGCAGCGTCGGGTACTACCAATGCCGTCGCTATCGATATGCAAAATGCTGGAAAAATCAAATTCGATCCGCCCAAAGTGCCAGTGATATTTGTTTTAGGCGGCCCCGGTAGTGGCAAGGTAACCCATTGCGATACCTTCATGCAGGAGAGACGCGGTGTAACGCACATCAATATGATGGATCTGCTGCAGCAATATGCAATGGGAAATGGTAAGAAAAACAACGATAAAAACTTTAATTGAATTTTTTTGAGCATTTGAATAGATATCTTAATCGAATTGCTTTACAGACATGCAGGACTTTTCGCAACTATCATCTAAAACGGTCACCGAAGTGCTGATGTTGGAAATGAAAATGGCTCCAGCTGCCAAAGCATACCTAATATCTGGATATCCACGCTCCATGCGCGACGTTGTTGAGTACTCGGAGAAGGTAATTTTTCTACCACTCGTAATTTGTCCCTGTTGGCTTTTTTATTATTATTTATTACGTGTGTGTGTGTGTGTGCTGGTTGTGTGTGTGCTTTATTGGCCCAGTAAATTGCTGCTGAACTATTTGAACTAATTAACTGGCAAATGGGTCAGGCCGAAACACCACACCTGAACACCTGCACACCTACAGACAGAGAGACAGACACAGTTTGTTTATTCGGCCATAATTCCCATGAATTTAGAGTGTGTGTGTCTCTCCGCTCCGCTCACTTATGTATATCCTTGCCACGAGCGAGTGCTAATTGGATGATGGCGTTGTATTTTTGTTCCCCTATTAACGCTCTCACCTCCCCATGCTTGTTCTTTAGATACAAGTCGTCAATGGCGTGATCTTAATATCGTGGCGCCAATCGGTTCTACAGAAGCAAATCGATTATGGCGCCAAATTGGGTCATGTTGTACTCTCCCTAGCCAAAATGGAATTGGAAAATTTCTTCAAAAATGTGATGCCAGTCGCTGATTATTTTGATCAGAGCGATATGCTATTGGCCGTAAGTATTTCAAACTGATCTTATATATATCTGCTGCAATATCCAACTGCCACAATTTAAGGTTAATGGCGAGCGTGCTCCCACAGAGGTGTATAAAGATTTTCGCACCGCTGTCTTAGATATACTTAGCACGCTCGAGAATCAAGAGGCCATGATGAATGGAGTTACAGGTATGGGCAGAGGGATACATGATATACCCGGCAGTATAGTTAGCGTAGACACCGCACCTAGTCAAGTCCAAGCGACTCACATTGCAGACGACAACGCCACCAGCACCACCACCAACAACGTTGCCGCCCCAGCCACCGATACCGATACCAATACCAATACCGAGACCACCCTGCCTCTGGCCATCGATCAGAGCAATGTGGGATACCCCACCAACAGTGCTGACGATGACAGCGGTGTGGTTGTCACACAGCAGCCAAAGCGCCAAACGGATTCCGCCGATCTGCCAGTTTTGCCACCCATTATATGGGTGATTGGTGGACCGGGCAGCAACAAGGCCACCCTCTGCCTCAAGGCGGTGGGCCTGAATCCCGGCTGGGCGCACATTAGGTATGGCTACTGGGACTCAATTTAAACTTTATCTTTAATTATAATTAATTGACTTGACTATTCGGTTGCAGTGTGGGTCGCCTCTTGCGCAATATCACAGACTCTGCGCCACGTGCCAATACCGAGAGCTATGCGGTCAAAGAGGCCCTGGCTGCTGGCGATATGGCGCCCGAGAAGTCATTGAATCAGCTACTGGAGTCGAATCTCCGCCAGCTGCTCGACAGAACGGGCATCATCATCGATGGCTATCCGAGAAATCTACAGCAAGTCAAATACTTTGAGAATAAGGTAGCCAGCGGAAAGTCCCCGCAAAATAACGAATTTAAAACACGAAACTTGATTGCCTTTCAGTACCAGCAACGACCGCCCATTATCCTGCTGGACTGTTCGAAACTTCAGCTGGGACGCGGACGCATCGACGATACAGTGTCCTCGTTTCGCCGACGACTGGAACTGTTTCGGGAGCAGACGCTGCCCATGCTCAAGACCATGGATAACAGCAATCGCTTGCAGATTGTGAGTCAACATTTTGAGCAGAAACTTCAGAGCATAAACTAACCCCATAAACTGCACCCTTTAGGTCGATGGCGACACGGACAGTCCGTCGGTGCAGCGGGAATTCGAGCGCCTCATACGGAATCATATCCAGCAGTTGCTGAACCGAAGCGACGACACCGATGCCACGGCACCACTGGGCCATCCGATGATGCGCAACGAGCAGACGGACGCCATACTGCACGATCTGGAGACGAATGTGCCGGGGGCAGTGCCCACGATCAGTCACCATGTGAGCATGATGAATGGACACCTCAAGAATCGGGGCAGTGCGCTCGGCAGTGGCAAGCATCCCACGCAAATGATGAATGGCCATGTGCCCGGCAGACCACCCACTGGGCCTGTGCCGCAACCGGGGCCCGTGGACTTTAGGCACATGCTTGAGGAGGCCGAACGATATCCGGTGGATTCGTATATGTAGATCAATAGAATTTAAAGCAAGGTTTTATATAGTTTTCTAATCGATTTAGGCTAAGGATCGTTGAGTTTTACAAGGGTACAAAGGGACCATTAGGTTTGCAGAACTAGCATCAGAGACGGACAGAGTCAGAGCCAGAATTTAATTCAACATTTGATTTCACTAGATACGTAATACGTATACCTAAGTACTCGTACATATAGACGCATATCGAATAAACAAACACAAGAGTCCGATGCAATTGAAATTCAAATAAAAGCGTCCAGAGTCCCCGGGGTTGCTCCAGGATCTAATTAGCAGTTATCCTGTCGTGGCATACACAAAATCTCTGCACCTTTCTGTGCCTGATGCAACTGGCATCCCCATCGAAGGCGTTCTGTCTACTGATCTCCATCATGTCGGTGTCCATCAGATGCGTCAGCTCGTTGTAGCTGACGGTGGCCTCAAACACCAGCCTATTGGGCAGGGCCTCCAGTTGTATCCGATAGTAGCACACACTGGGATCATCATGCGGGGATCTTTCCTTTTTCTGGGCCCTTCGAATGCCCGACAAACGGAGCTTACTACACCGATTCAGTAGCCTGAGATCGGTTAGAAACTGATTGATTCGCTGAACCACAAAGTGTGCCATGGTCTGGATACGGTCGCTGAGGGGCAGCACTTTGTACGCCTCGCAGGTGCACCAATGTGGCCCGATGCCCGCATCGGAGCAGGTTCGATCCTTTGGCAGAGCGTAAAGCAGACTCTGACAGCGAGGACACGACGGCGGAGACTCGTGCGCGACCTGCAGCGAGGCTATATGTTTCAGAGTCTGCTGGAGATCGTGGGGAGAGCACAAGCGATGGCTATTCAACTGCAAGGCATGGGCAAACTTCGGATGGCGCTGGCGAAACCATTTTGGCAGTGACACGAACAACATGGGCTGACGTTCCTCCAGCTGGCCATCGGGCAGGTGAAGCAGCTCGCCAAACTGCATGCCATGGTCGCTGAGCAGCACCACAATTGCCTGGTCGTAGAGTCCCAATGCATCGAATCTCTTTAGATAGTCATGCAGCAGCTCATCGTTGTCCGACGGTTCGGCATGGCCATCGGACCGAAAAAGATTCGTCCAGAAGAGGCCAAAGAAGGGCTGCACACCCCTCACATATCGCTCGATCAGCTGCGTGCAGTAGTCCAGGGTATGTTCCATGCTGAGTCGCTTCCTTTGACAGGTCCTGGGCTTGGGCTTAAGCATGGGCAGAGGCGGCAGATAGTGGTCCACCGGTGGCCTCTGGCACTGGGCGATCTCTGGACTGTCCGCGGATATTGCAGTCACGTAGCCGGCAAATTTAAAGTCCTTCCACACGAGCGGCAAACGGTCCAGACAGTCAGTCAGATTGCTGTCGCCCACCGCGTTGAATCCGCGCATCTCGTGCCAATGCCTGCCACCGAGAAAGTCGCTCACCTGGGGCAGGACTCGCCGCAGATTGCCGCGCGACATGGAGTCAATGCCCAGCACAAGGACACTGGGCTGCCGCTGGCCCATCCGTGGCGCCTCCTCTTTGGGCTGTACAAACGCCAAACCCTCGGACACCCGCCGGGTGTGCATGGCGTAAGTTTGATTAGCCCCCAAGTCACACTGCAGCAGCATGCTCTGCACATCCTTGGGCACCAAGTGCAGGTCCTTGAACGTCACTGGTTGCCGCAGTCTGACATGGTTGTCGGGCCGTTCTTCAATGGCCCTGTAAGAGCACTCGACGATTGGCCTTTCGTCACCCAATAATTGAGCTGCCACTTGCTGCTGAATTCTTAGCTGATATTGGTGGCGGCGCGAGTTCCATTGGGACCCAACCAGACGAGGACGCTTCGCTGTGCAACTTTCTGTGGTGCGGTGCCGGTGTCTGGAGCGCAATCGAAGTATCTCCGATGAGAGAACCCTCAGCTGCGGCATCTTACAGTGCTCCGTGTCAATGTCCAGCTTTTCCACTTCATCTTCGATAATCTGATCGATCAGTTGCTGTATGCTAACGTTTCCCCCAATCAGCACACTGCCATAGCCAAATGAGAGAATGAGAGCCAGTTCGAGAACGAACAACCGACCCACAAAAAGCTCCATTTAAACTAAACTCCAGCTCCAGCTCTGGCAATTGTCACATATATTTAGTTGGAACATTGATTCGTTCCGTTGTGCTACTAACAGAACTTGTTGTAGTGTTTTCCTCAAAATTAATTATCATTCTCTGCCAGTCGGGATCGAGGTTTCCATCTGTCAGGCAGAAGCAGAACTTCTTGGCAATTTTATCCTTGATGCAGAGCGAATCGTTGTGATATCTGTTCAGCCGACTGACATCTTCTATATCGAAGTCAATCAAAATCTCGCGTTCCGTGTGGTAGCGCACCGTGGCCTCGAAGCGACCCTCCGGGGGATTGGTGTGAAAGCGCACACGATAGATTATGATGCTACCGTACAGGGTCTCCTTGTCGTTATCCAGAGCCAGCAGCTTCCGCTCGGCATAGTCCAGATCCGCGAGCAACAGGCGTTCGCAATGTCTGTTGAAATGGTGGAGTATCATCCAACGATTGATATAATACAGCGTCAGTTTGACCAGGTTGTACGCCTCTCCGTTGAGCTTTACGGAAATGAATTCGTTGCACGGACACCAGTGATCCCCGATGCAGGCCTCCTGGCAGCTGCGGTCTTCCGGCAGGGCGTGCAGAAGCGACTGACTGGTGGGACAACTCGTCAGCGGAGGAAGCTGCTCAGGTTTGGTTGCATTCAGCTGGAGAATGTGCCGCAGCGTATTGTGGAGATCGTACGGAGACGAGAGACGGTTGCGATTCAGATGGAGCGTCCGGGCATAACTAGGATATGCTTTGCGGAACCAGGGGGGCAAATAGATGTGCAGCATGGGCAAACGCTCCTCCAGGAAACCGTCCGACAGTTCAGTGAGATCACCGTATCGCTCCCCATGATCGCTGAGCAGTATCACGATGGATTTCTCAAAGACCTGGTGCGTCTCGAGCATCTTTAGGTAGTCTAAGAACAAGCCATCCAAGCTGGAAGCTCCGTAATGATAGTCGTGCGTGAAGGTGCAGCTCCAGAAGAAACCAAAGGCTGGCTGATCCAACTCCTCGATGAATCGTTGGGCGAACTGCATGCAAAAATCGTACAGATACGAAATGGTTATTCGTCTGCCCATACAATAGTCGTAGCCGAACCTCCGGAAGGTGCGCATCGCCTGGGTGAGGCCTGTCAGGAGAGGGCGCAGATAAAAGTCTGTTGGCACTTGACCAAAGCCGACATCGGGTCCTGTGAAGACGCCGTACCGCACTATATCTTCGCCGTAAGCCGTCGAGTAGCCTGCTGTCTTGAAATCCTTCCATATCCAGGGACACGAATCAATGCGGCCATGGCTTGACACACCACAGACTTTTTCTAGATCCTTCGGCCTGCCACCGGCCATAACAACACACAGATTTGGAAACGTATTGTCCGCCACTTTGTTGTAGCCCTCCAGCTCGAACCAGCCCAACTGTCGCACATATTCGGCCGTCCTTGGCATTGTGCGCCTAAAGTTCATACGCGACATGGTGTCCAGGCCCAGCATGATGACGCTGGGCTGCCTATCCGATGGTTGCGACTCAGTCCGAGGTTCCTTGTTGATCACTTGCACGAGCGGGAAGGCATCCCTCTGAATGATTCTGGACGCGTTCCTTCCATCATGGCACTCGGCTATAATTCCACTCATATTCTTATCCAGCGCCATGGACTGTGTGATTTCGACGGGTGGCAGAAGTCTGTGACAAAAGAGGTTCATTCAATCAGTAGTCAATAAATCAGAAACGACTATGAGTCCTACGGACTTACACACTAAAGAACGCTCCGGTTGCATTTTGACCGCGGATCACCTCCTGATAGCTGCAAGTCAGCTCAGTGATGTTCGGAGCCAATCCGACCAGCACCTCGGTATTCACATGGATTTTGTATTTCTGTAGTTTGAGATCGTAGCTCAGCGACATCAGATCCGACTCATTGGTGCAGCTTCTCAGTGTGGATGGAGTATAGACGGCCAGAGCTTCTCTGGAGAAGGGATCCGCATAGGGAATCTTGCACTTTCGGCTGTACACAAAGTACCGATTCGCGGGCTTGGCTGTCCTCTTTGGCTTTCTGTACAGCATGAAATCATCAACACTGCGTGTGGTGTCGGATCTGCGTATCGGGGCTTTGGTGGTGGATGTTAGGGCCTTCTCCATCTTCAACTTGTAGTACTCCCTATTCTGCAAGTGCTGCTGCTTGGCCAGCTCGTACAGCCTCTCCGAGCGTGATAGGGTGTTTAATCTAGCTGATGCTGATGCCTGATCCTTGGCATGAGGAAACGGTCCAACGGTATCATCATAGTCACTGTCGCGATTCACATAATTGGCCCATAGCACAACCAGGAGGATCGCAACGAATATAATACTGTATTTTTTTATTTTCATTATTAATTTACGTCTTATCATGTTTTCTATTTCGTGAGTGTTTGAGCTTCTTAAAGTGAGTATTGGCTAGGTATTCGAATGTGATTTGTTTGCGAACAGCTGCTATGATTTCGGCAACTAGTCGTTTAGTTGCCAAATTATATTCAAAATCATATAAAATAGTATTTTAACGAGAAGGAATGTGTGAGCTGCTTCTGGGGACGCGACTCTACTAATACCCGTACTCAGTTAGTATATACATTTTTGAGCTTATGATTATTTAGAATTAAAAAAAAAAAAAAAAAATCACATATTACATTACCAAATTTGGTTGCCCTAGCTTTTATGGTCTCTGAGATCTAGGCGCTCAACAAGACGGACGGACGGACTGACGGACAGACAGACATGGCTCTATCGACTCGGCTATTGATGCTGATCAAGAATATATATACTTTATGGTGTCGGAAACGTTTCCTTCTCTGCGTTACGCACATCCACTTTTACCACAAATCTGATATACCCCTTAACTCTTTTTTGAGTACGGGTATAAAAATACAAAACACTGTAAGGAGCCGTACATTATTATTTATGTAAGTATTATAATTAAGTCGCTTAACACCTTCCCGCCTAAATACCTATTTAAATCGAATTATAAAATATTTGATCTGTTCGCTAAATCCGTCTCTGTTTTCACACCAACATCAGCCGTTACATCGGGCTCTCCTCCGCTAGCTGGCGCACACTGCTCGAGGAAGATTGTGTGCGAGAGAGACAGAGAGTGAATGAGCAAGCGCTTGAAAGGGACAGCGTAGTCACAGCAATTTGCTTTGTGCATTCTGTCTATAATAATGATACGCTCTAGTCCAGGTCCACAATAATAATGCTGTATCGAAATATACCTCGAACTTGTATTTGACATCAAGAAACATTTAATTAATTAATTAATTAATTAATTAATTAATTAATGAATAATTAATATGCTCTGATAGATCATTGATTGATTCGATGTGATGTCATTCAAAGGATGAAATTTTGTGTTTTGTGTGTATTTTGATCAAATATTTTTTGGGTACTACTGATTCGTCCATTCAGGATCAATGATTCCAGTGCAGAAGCAGAACTTTTTGGCAATTTTATCATCAATGCAGAGCGAATCGTTGTGATATCTGTTCAGGCGACTGACATCTTCTATATCGAAGTCGTCCAAACGCTGCAGATCCTTGTTGTAGCGCACCGTGGCCTCGAAGCGACCCACAGCTGGATTGGTGTGAAAACGCAGACGATAGGTGCTAATGGCACCGTACAAGGACTCCTGTCCGTTCTCATCGCTCAACAGCTTCCGCTCCGCGTAGTCCAGATCGTCAAGCAACAGGCGATCGCATTTTTTGTTAAAATTTTGTAAAACCAACCAACGATTGATGTAGAACAGCGTCAGTTTGACCATGTTGTATGCATCTCCGTTCAGTTTTATGGTGATGAAGCTGTGGCACGTACACCAGTGATCGCCGATGCAGGCCTCCACGCAGCTGCGATCCCTTGGCAAAGGGTGGAAAAGCGATTGACTAGAGTTACAATTTTTCAGCGGAGGAAGCTGCTCAGGTTTGGTTGCATTCAGCTGGAGAATGTGGCGCAGCGTATTGTGGAGATCGTACGGAGACGAGAGACGGTTGCGATTCAAATAGAGCGACTGGGCAAAGTTAGGATATGTTTTGCGGAACCAGGGGGGCAAGTAGATATGCAGCATGGGCAACCGCTCCTCCAGGAAACCGTCGGACAGTTTGACGAGATCACCGAATCGCTCCCCATGATCGCTGAGCAGTATCACGATGGATTTCTCAAAGACCTGATGTCTCTCGAATATTTTTAGGTAGTCCATGAATACTCCATCCAAACTGGAAGCTCCGTAATGATAGTCGTGCGTGAAGGTGCAGCTCCAGAAGAAACCAAAGGCTGGCTGATCCAACTCCTCGATGAATCGTTGGGCGAACTGCATGCAAAAATCGTACAGATACGAAATGGCTATTCGCCGACCCATACAATAGTCGTAGCCGAACCTCCGGTAGGTGCGCATCGACTGGGTGAGGCTCTTCAGAAGAGGGCGCAGATAAAAGTCGGTAGGCACATAGCGGAAACCGGAGTCAGATACCGAGAAGACGGAATCCCCTATTATATCTTCGCCGTAAGCCGTCGAGTAGCCTGCCCTCTTGAAATCCCTCCATATCCAAGGACACGAACCCTGCTGATCAGGGTATGAAAATCCGCAGATTTTCTCCAGTTGCTCTGGCCTGCCACCGGCCAAAACAGTACAGAGATTTGGATAGGTATTGTCCGCCACTTTGTTGTAGCCCTCCAGCTCGAACCAGCCCAACTGTCGCACATATTCGGCCGTCCTTGGCATTGTGCGCCTAAAGTTCATCCGCGACATGGTGTCCAGGCCCAGCATGATGACGCTGGGCTGCCTATCCGATGGTTGCGACTCAGTCCGAGGTTCCTTGTTGATCACTTGCACGAGCGGGAAGGCATCCCTCTGAATGATTCTGGACGCGTTCTTTCCATCATGGCACCCGGCTATAATTCCGCTCATATTCTTATCCAGCGCCATGTTGTTTGTGATGTTGACTGAAGGCTGTAGGCTGCGTAAAAAGGGTCATTCAGTTGGTTATTAATTTATGAATTCTATGAATTTAATGGACTTACAAACTGATGAAATTTCCGGTAAGATCTTTACGGAGGATCACCTCCTGATAGCTGCAGGTCAGCTCAGTGATGTTCGGAGCCAATCCGACCAGCACCTCGGTATTCACATGGATTTTGTATTTCTGTAGTTTGAGATCGTAGCTCAGCGACATCAGATCCGACTCATTGGTGCAGGTTCTCAGTTTGGCTGGGGTGTAGAGGGCCAGAGCTTCGCTGGAGAAGGGATCCGCATAGGGCATCTTGCACCTTCGGCTATACACAAAGTACCGATTGGCCGGCTTGGCTGTTCTCTTTGCATTGCGACTATCCCGAAAGTCGACATCCATAGCTGTGGTATCGAAGGCTTCATCCGTCTTTGCTTCCTCCTGCTCCTGCTCCTGCTCCGGCTCCGGCTCCTTCTTCTTCGTAATTTGGTATTCCCGATACTTCAGGTGCTGCTGCCTGGCCAGCTGATACAATCGCTCCGTCTCGGATAGGGCACCCCCATCGGTCTTGTTCTGATTACCAGCTGAGGCCCGATCCCCGGCATCACTCTCGCGATTCGAATGATTGGCCCATATGAAAATCAAGAGCAGGCCAAAGAATATAATTGTGCACCTCTTTATTTTGAAAAATGATCTACGCCTGAACATTTTTCCTCGTCCGTGTGCTGTGGTTTCCATTCGGAATTGAAGTGAGTTTTGTTTGGACAGCTGTTCTGGGTGCTGGAAGCTGGGTGATTGATGAGTGAAGGGCTGTTGTGATTGGCGAAATTCAATCAAACATCAGACATTAAGTCTGAGACTAGCGTTGACGAAATCATCATTCGATTCATCATATTCGTCCTCTCGCTCCTCCAGCCAGGCATACCGCACTTTCCTCATTTTCGTTACCATTAATTCCTCACCGTAAAAGTCATCGAACGTCGGCACGGATGTCTTTTTGTGGCAAACACATATTTTCTTGGCCAGCACATCCTCCACACAATTCGATTCGTTGCGGTACGAGTTCAATCGACTTATCTCATCCAGTTCAATGACTACGCTCTCCGCGTTGCTTTCTGCTGCTTACCAGAGTTCGAAATTTGCCACCATTCGGTGTGGTGGTGAACTCCAGCTGATAGACCTCCATTCCGTGGGGGGGATCGATTTCGACGCCAAAGTCATCAAAGTGCAGCTGGCGCTTGGCTTTGAGCAGTTCGCCAAGGTACAGCTGCTGGCAGTCGGTATTCAGATTCAGCTTGGCCAAATACTTGTTCATCCGATAGACGACCATGCGGCCCAGTCTGACGGCCAGGCCAGTGGTGGCCACCGGCACATAGGTCTCGCAGGCGCACCAGTGCACGGGAATGTTGGCGTCCTTGCAGCCTCTGTTGCGGGGCACCACGCGAAAGAGAGAGCGGCAACCGATGCAGGAATAGGACTTCATAAAGTCAATGCCCGGACGGATCTGCTCCACAATGGATCTGATGCCCAGATGGAGATCAAAGTTGGAGGTAAGACGATTCCGGTTTAGCTTGAGGGCGCGCGCCACCTTCGGATAGCGGCTACGGTAACCGGGCGGCAGATAGATGTGCAGCATGGGCAGACGCTCCTCGAGAAAGCCAGAGGCATGCTCCGCCAAGTGGCCATACCTGGCCCCGTGGTCGCTGAACAATATGACAATGGACTTGTTGAACAGCCCGTAGTCCTTGTACTGCTCCAGGTAGTTGACGAAACTCGCATCCAGATTGGCGCCGCCGCTGTGATCGTCGTGGGTTAAGCTGCTCGTCCAGAAGAGGCCAAACAGCGGCTTGGGGGACTCATGGACAAAGCGCTGGATCAGCTGCCTGGCATAGTCGAAGATGTAGCTGTAGCTGTGCCTCCGGCCCAGGTAGTAATTGCTGCCCAGATACTCCACCGCTTCGAGCACATGCTCGAGGATCATCAGGAAGGGACGAAGATAGAAGTCGACCGGCTGCCGTACAAAGCCCGCCTTCAAATAGTTGAATGTCGATATGGAGGGCAGATCCTCTGCGTATGCCGTCAGGTATCCGGCATTGTGAAAGTGATCCCACAGATACGTAATGTAGTTGAAGCAGCCCGTAGTCTTCAGGTTGCAGCTCTTTGACCACCACTTGGGGCTGCGACCCGTCAGCAGGGCCAGCAGATTGGGCAGCGTGTTGTCCCCCACCTTGTTGTAGCCCTCCATCTCATACCAGCCACTGTGGCGCACGAATTGCGAGGTGAGCGGCATCGTACGGTGGAAGTTCATGCGGGACATGCTGTCGATGCCAAACAGAAAGACACTGGGATAGTGTTCAGCGCGCCAGGCGTCGCTCGTCTCGTTGCGATTCCCCGGATACTGGACAAAGGAGAAGGCATCGGCCTGCACCACACGCGAAACATTCCGGATATCATTGCAGCTCGCAACCAATCCCAAAAAGTGCCGCGGCACAATGAAATCGGCTTCGAAAAATTGAGCACGACGGGCTCTGGAAAAGAGAATCGATCCTCACAGGGATTAAAGTTTATTCCACAGACTGCCGCCGAGTACTCACATGGCAAACGAATCGTTTGTGCCCGCCATTGTCTCGTAATAGAAGCAAGCATAGTCCGAGTAGTTGGAGAAGTGAGTCCTCATCAGTTGATGGTGCAGGTGCAGTGTGTAATACTTCGTTTCGCGGTTGTAGCTAACGCTGAACAGATCCGGGTCCGCTGTGCACGCCTTAAAGGGCATTGGCAGCGTCATGTCCAGGAACTCTTTCGACAGTGCATCGACATAGGGTATCTTGCACTTGGGACTAAAGACAAAGAACTTTTCAGCAGCGCTTTGTGGTGTCCTTTCGCTGGTCGATGTTGGCAGATCCGAGAGGGTTGTTCTTTGAACATTTATGGTCTGCGATTTGTTAGTTTGTGGCACATGCAAACGAGTACTGGGCTCCACCTCCAGTGTCCATGTTAGCTGGCCAATGGGATTAAGAAATATAAAGATCAGCAGCAAAATGATGGCACAAGGCACAACTTTGCGTACGATATTGTGTCGAAGCATGGCTCGAGTTTGAACTGCTATGAATTTTGTGTGTATTTATTTTTGTAGTTGCAGGTTCAATCGAGGCACACTTTTTTCCCCAAAACATTACCGAAAATGTATAAAAAAACGCGTGAAGACAGAAAGAAAGCCACGTCATGCAGCAGCACCCATCGGTTGGCTTGCATTTCAAGCCCGGAAACCACGACAACGTTTTCATTTATGTGTACTTTATTTTATTATCCTTAACTCCTAATGGGATCATATATTTATTGAGATTAGAAAGTCTATGGCTTGAGGTCGCTAATGCAAATGCAATATAATTTAGCTATTTTATCGTCTATGCAGGTGGAGTCTTCCTTGTAGGAATTCGTGCGACTGATTGTCTCCACCTTTACTTCCGCCGTTTCGGTGACATTGTTGAAGACAACCGTGGCCTCGAAGTCGGCGCTGTTCTGTTGCACCTTGAACTTGGTGCGATAGACGGCCACCTCCAGTTGGGGCAGCGCATCGTGCCAGCTGATGTCGAGACCCGTTTTGATTTGCGTATTGTGGACATAGCTCAGGGACAGATTGCTGCACAGGTGGGAGAGATTCTTTGCCACGAAATACTCATTCATCAGGGGTATCACACTCTGGGCAACGCGATCCGCCCAATCCAGATTGGAGATGGTTCGATATGGCTGACATGTACACCAATGCTCATCGATGGCCGCCTGGGCACAAGTCCGGTCCTCGGGCAGTGGGTAGAACAGCGACTGGCAGGTGGGGCAGTCAAAGGATTTGGGCAGCTCGGGTCCGCCACCGATCTCAATGATGTGCTTCAGCGTATTGTGCAGGTCAAAGTTGGAGCTCAGTCGATTCCGATTGAGTTCCAAGGCACGGACATAGCTCGGGTATTCCGCGCGAAACCAGGGCGGCAGGTAAATGAACATCATTGGCAAACGCGACTCCAGGAAGCCCGATTTCAGATCTCTCAACTTGCCGAACCTTGTGCCATGATCGGCAAAGAATATCATTATGGTGTGCTCGAAGGCACCGTCCGCTTCGTAGTCCATCAGATCTGTCAGCACCATGTTCTGCATGGCCGAGGGCATGAAGGGATCGTCGTGGCTGTAGTGATTGGTCCAGAACATGCCCCAAATGGGTCGCTCCTGCACATAGCGCTGCATGAACTGGCGGCAGTAATCGTAGATATAACGATTGGCCAAACGACGGCCCATGCAATACCTCATGTACCCTCCGGGCAGGCGGGTAACCTCCGTCTCGGCCTCCAGTGCACGCAGAAACGGCCGGAAATAGTAATCCGTGGGCTTCTCGGTGAATCCGGGCTTCAGATAGTTGAATGTATTCGATCCACTCTCATCCTCCGCATAGGCCGTCATGTAGCTGGCGTTCTTGAAGTAATGCCAAATCATTGGCAACTCCTCGAAGCAGCCGGACTTGTCCGTGTCGCAGACCTGCGATTTAGCCGTGTCCGGGGAATAGCCACTGAGAATGGCAAACAGATTGGGAAACGAATTGTCGGCCACCTGCAAGTCAAAGAGACGGAGAGAGAGAGAGAGAGACTGCGAGTGTCAGCGAACAGCGATAGGTTGGTTGCCATTCTAACCTTGTTGTATCCCTGCATCTCATACCAGCCTGGGCCCTGCAGGAACTTGTGTACCTTGGGCATTGTGCGCCGTAGATTTATGCGTGACAACGAATCAATGCCGTACATTATAACGCTGGGCTTTCGGGGCCCCAAAGTCTTCGCCTTGGGTGTGGGTGTCGGTGTGGGCTCCTCCGGCTGATACTGTATAAACATGAATGCGTCCCGCTGCAGCACTATGTGAGGCTCCTCCGCCGTCTGGCACTCCATCAGCATGCCCTCCACATGCTTGGGCACCACATAGCCGTCCGTAAAGTATTTATCTGCCTTGAGTCTGAACGAATCGAATGGAACAGAGACTGTAATTGGTTTCCTACGAAGCGGATATCATTTCTTGTACTGCTATTACTTGTCGTAGGTATCTATTTGTTGGCCGTAGCTGATTTCCTCATAGAAACAGTTGTACTCCTCAGCCGTAGAGTTGAGCAGCTGCTGGGCCACCTGTTCGTTTATATGCAACACATATCGCAGCTGCAGGGCATCGTAGGTGGTCGTCACGAGATCACTCTCATTGGAGCAGGTCACAAAGGTCTGTGGCTTGTATATTTTCATCAAATCCTCACTGAAGGGATCCACAAAGGGAATATGACACTGGGCTGTTCGCACAAAGTATTGCTGGGGTTGCGGCGTAGCGACATTAACGATTCGCGTTAGCATGGAAACAGTCTTCTCCTTTCGTACATCCGGCAATTGATTTCCCATTGGTATGGCACATACGAAAATGATCAAAAGCAAACAGAACCCGAGGAGCCATTTGTACAGGGGATGTGCGGCACGAAAGCGCGAGTCCATGTTGTGCCATCGACCACAAATTCAACTCAACTGAACCTCCACCATGTTCCCCCAAAAAAACGAAGACCCTCATGGCTCAGGCATACCTGCCTGATTTGTATAGTTTTCGCACTGTTATCACTGCCCCCTGCCCTGCCATGCCCTGCCCTGCTCTGCCATTCTGTGCTCTGCCCTGAATGCGTAGGCATTCGGCAGTTTTGTAACTTGTTGGAGTGCACGTTCAAGTGGCGTTCGACCATTTTATCTGCCACTTCCCATAATTGTGACATGCGGAGGCAATTACTTGCCAAAGAAGTGAACTTAAGAGGTTTCCGAAGCGCAGTCTAAAGGTACTTTTGAGATTGGTTCAAAACAGAGAAATAAAATAAAATACCTGACCTTTTTTGAAGAATTTTAATGGTTTAGAAATGAATGGCACTGATCTACATATTATGTTATATTCATATTATATTATATTATATTATATTATATTATATTATATTATATTATATTATATTATATTATATTATATTATATTATATTATATTATATTATATTATATTATATTATATTATATTATATTATATTATATTATATTATATTATATTATATTATATTATATTATATTATATTATATTATATTATATTATATTATGTAATTTGCATTATTATGTCTTCAGCTCTGTTAGACATATGCAATATAGTTTTTTGATCTTATCGTGCATACATTTGGAGTCCGTTTTGTATGTGTTTATCCGACTTATACGCTCCACATTTATGTCCAGAGCTTCGGTGGCATTGTCGAACAGTGGAGTGCCAAAGAATTCGGCATCATTTTCGTTTACCATAAACTTTGTGCGATAATACACCATTTTGGTGTGCAGCAGCCGGCTGTCCTTTTGCTCCGTTCTGGTGACGTACTTCAGTGTCAGATTGCTGCACAGTCGATTCAGTTTGTGCTGCCAGAGATATTCGTTGATGCGATGGATAACTCGATGGGCGATGCGGCGGGTCCATTCGCCGTTTACCTCCCGATAGGCATTGCATGTGCAGTAGGTTTCCTCGATGGCCGCCTGAGCGCAGCTCCGATCCTCGGGTATCGGCAGCAGTAACGACTGACACGTGGGGCAGTCGTAGAACTTGGACAGTGCAGACGCCTCCAGCGTGGCACCGCCTATCTGCAGGATGTGCCTCAGTGTGTGGTACAGATCGAAATTGGAGCTCAAGCGGTGCTGATTGAGGGCCAGGGCTTCAGCATGCTGCGGGTACTTGCGCCGGAACCAGGGCGGCAGATGGATGAACATCATGGGCAGTGTCTCCTCCAGAAAGGATTCCGGCACCTTCTGCAGCGGACCGAATCGAGCGCCGTGATCGGAAAAGAATATCATAATCGTGTGCTCGAAGGCCCCGTCGCGCTCAAAGTTCAACAGATCCTGCAGGATCTTGTGCTGCATCGCCGAGGGCATGAACGAGTCGTCATGGCTGAAATGATTCGACCAGAACATGCCCCAAATGGGCCGATCGGCCACGAAGCGCTGCATGAACTGGCGACAGTAGTCGAAGATGTAACTGTTGGCCAAGCGGCGGCCCAGACAGTACTTCATGCCGCAGCCCGGACACAGCTGGACCTTCGTTCGGTTCTCCAGGGCCACCACAAACGGACGGAAGTAATAGTCCACGGGTTTCACCGTAAAGCCCGGCTTCATGTACGTGAACGTATTGGAGTCGCTCTCATCCTCCGCAAAGGCCGTCAGGTAGCCAGCCTTTTTGAGATCCTTCCATATAAAGGGTATCCTGTCCAGACAGCCCTTGATGTCCGTATCGCAGAGCTTGGACTTGGCCGTTTCTGGGAAGTAGCCCGTCAGAATGGCAAACAAATTGGGAAACGAATTGTCGGCCACCTGAGACCCGCACAGAAGAGACTTAATCAGTGATTGGTTAAGAAGAGAATGGAGTATTGATTCCGTACCTTGGTGTAGCCCATCATTTCATACCAGCCCGGTGACTTGAGGAACTCGTACACCAGCGGCATTGTGCGCCGGAGATTTGTGCGTGACACGGTGTCAATGCCGTACATAATTACACTGGGCTTTCGTGGCTCCTGAGGCCTCACTGGCGGTGCCTTTTGGTGCTGCACAAACACAAAGGCATCCTTTTGCAGCACTCTTGTGTGGTTCAATGCTCGACACTCGACCAGGATGCCCTCCACAGACACCGGCACCACATAATCTCGGCCGAAGTAGACCCTATCTCCGATTCTGCGCTCGGGGAAAATGATTTTACTGAGAACACTGCCTCTCCACTTATTATTACATCATTGAAGAGAGAACTTTACCTGTCGTAATCGTCCGCTTGCTCGCCGTGGATGATTTGCTGATAGAAACACGTGTATGGGGTATCGTTCGAGTGCAGCAGCCCGTGGATCACATGCTCATTGATGTGCAGCACATATCGATTCAGATATGTGTCATACTGCACATCGATTAGGTCACTTTCATTGGTGCAGGGTATGAACGGCAGCGGCTTGTAGTACTTCATAATCTCAGCACCGAATGGATCCACATACGGTATCCGACACTTGACCGTCTTCACATAATACTTTTTATCTGCTACGCCTGCTATATCCCCATGGTTTTTTCCTATTAGCTCATTGTCTCTCTTGCATAAAATGATTAAAATTAGCAGCAATGAGACACAGCAGAGACACTTTCTCACAGCGTTCAACGTGTACCGCACCATTTTCAATGCTTGTCCTAACTGATATTAACAGTCTGCTTAGTGCTTGGTGCTTGGGCTTGGGGGGGGTTTTCCTTATGCTGTACACATCACTCGTACTTTTACCGCAGTAAATCAATTTCGCGGTGTTTTTCTCAGAAGTGGCGAAGTGCAGCTATGACTTAGAGATATCTCGAATGGTTACAGGGCAAAGAGAGTTCGCGTATTATGAGTAATAGTACTTGACAGCCAGGGGCTTGCAGGCTCCGGATTAAAGAGAAAATACAGCGCTCCGTCGCCAGAAGAAAATGTAACTCAAACAACGCCACTCCGTGCGGTTGCTAGCCAGCCAATAGCTAAATATCTAGATAATAGCTGCCGTTCCGTTTAATTTTTAGAGATATCAAAACCAAAACAAATTTGGGTTCATTGCCATTCATTATCTTCTGATAGAAGCAATCGGTTAGCTTGATTATACGTAAATTTGGAGCGTATTACCGACTATTGGCATTATGATTCATCAATGGAAAAAAACACTTACATTTTCAATTGTTGAAGTTAAATTACCATAAAATCGCTTTCGACACGCCACAATCGTAGATGTCGTGGAAAGTAATGGCTGGGGATCATTCAGAGCAGTAACAGACGGCAAATGGAGCCACGTTGGGCACTTTTGATATTGATTTTGACTCTGCCATTTGCCCTGGCGTTGAAGAAAGGCAAAACAGCGCCACAGAAGAAGTCTACGCCAAGGGAAAACTACTTCATAAAATCCTCAGAGTGTCGCATTCGGAATGTGCAACAAATGCCAACGAATGCCACGAACAATAGGCAGGATGCTGATTTTAGTGAGTGCTATCAAGATTATGATTTGATCAGCACACGCTTCCACGACAAATACCAGCGATATTTGCTGCACATCAACGAACTTCTCTCGCAATTGATTGTTGGGTACAGTTGCAGTTATCTGGCGATACAAAGGGGCACCCAAATCGTACGTAAAGAGGTGCCCTTTCGGGATGGCTATGTGGTGCCGCCGGAGGTGGAGGGCATGATAGCCAGCTGCAGCAATAGCCTGGGGAAAGTGCTCCAAGCCAAGGCCTTGACCTTTGTACAGCCACGCAGTGGAGCGCGTAAAGCGCCCAAACACCGGAGACACCGTAAAGCCAATGTCATTATGATCAGTATGGGTGCCATTTCTCGTTTGAATTTTCGCAAAAACCTCCCAGAATTGGGCAAACACCTGCAAATGGAGGGCTGGTACGAGATGCAAGGCTACGGCAGTGTGGGCCAAGGCCTCATGCCCAATCTGATGGCCATACTGTCGGGCTACAGTCCCGACACGTGGAAGAACATGGAGTGCCAGTCGCAGCAATTTGGCTGCTTGGATGCGCTACCTTTGATTTTTGATCACTTCAAGCGGCATGGCTATCTGACGGCCTACGGCGAGGATATGAGCTACCAAAATCCCTTTGCATTCGCAACGTCCAGCCTCGACTATTATGCCCAGGGAATGAGCACTGAAATGCCCAGCAATTGCCTTGGCAGACTGCTGAATATTCGCTATGTCTATGAATTCTGGCAGCAATATCTGGAGCAGCACTTGCCGATGGGACCGGCCCAGCCCCTGTTTGGACTCTTCCGGACAAACAGCTGGAACTACGACCTCTTTGAGGGTGGTAATATACTGGAACCGTTTGTTATGGAATACTTTCAGCGCTTCATTGAGCTGGGACTCTTCAAGCACTCGATTGTGATGCTCTTCAGCGATGGCGGTGGAGGCCTTGCGGAGAGCCTCCTGTCCATGCTGTTCATTTGGCTGCCGCCTTGGTTTCGCGCCAAGCATCCGGAAGCGGTGCAGGCCTTGAAGACCAATAGCCAACTGCTGACATCCCCATACGACCTGCATCTCACCCTCCGGCACATTGTGGAGCTGGGCGAGCGGTGGCCCCAGGCTGTGGCCGAGCTGCAGGACTGTCCCAAGTGCCAGACACTGCTGGCGCCAATGAACGAGAGCCGCACCTGCCCGGATGTGGGTATAGGTGATGCCACATGCCCCTGCAACACCTACAAGCCACTTGGCAGCAGGAAAACGAGGCAACTGCCACTGGGTGAGCTTCTTGTGCGGGGCATAAACGACTATTTGCACCAGAGAAACCTCCAGGAGCTCTGCTCCAACCTCACCCTCAAGGCCGTCACAGCCGTGTCCGTTCGTGTGGAGAGGCAGCATCCCAAGTCCCCCCACATGGACACCTATCGCGTGACATTCAGGGCCCAGCCCAGCCGTCCAGAGTTCGCCGGAACCATTCGCTTTGACCACAAACTGCAGACAATGGGCGACCTGAATGTGGGTTCCATTCAGAGATTGGATCCCTATCGAAAGGATTCCGAATGCATGAAAAAACTCACGGGCAAGAGGTTTTGTGTGTGCAAGAAGCCCGAGGAGAAACCCGTCCACCAATTGAAGGCCCTCACGGCAAAGCACAGCATCAAGAAGAAGGCAGCAAAGGAAAAAAAACTGCAACTAAAAATAGCCAAGCGAACGAAAAAGAAGAAATACCGCGCAAAAAGAAGGCCGCGAGAACCACCGCGAAAAAATATTGCCATAACAAAAAAACAAAAACCAAAGAAAACCGGAAAATAAAATACGTTTTCCAAAGAGAGAATATTGCATCGAGGGGATAGAAAAAAGCAGGGACCGTAATCATTATAGGCTAAATTTTAAAAAGCATAAAATAATAATTAAATGTTAAGTTTTTGGATATTCATCGGTGGTAAATAATAATATATATAAATAATAAAAATAATAATAAATAAAAATAAAAAAAAAGTGTTTTACAGTCACTCTAATCATTTTGCAGCTGCCAGCATGCCCGTGCTCAATTGATTCTGCACCAAAACATTTCAATCCCCACGCTCTACATGTGAAATGTTTCGAATAAATCGCAGCAGACGACATTCGACGATTAAATCCACGATGAATGTGTGGAGTTTTCGGCGCTTTGTGATTCTGCTGCTACTCTTAGTCACCATTTGCATTATCGATGGAGCGACGAAAAAGAAAAATAAGCAAACGACACGCAATAAATATAAAAGAGTATTCCCGACCAAAGGGCACAGGAAACCCATGAAACCGAGGACTCCATTGCAAAGACGAAGTGTTGCAGTCAACAAAAATCTGACCAAACGAGATGAACAGCCCATTCAGGATGTGCACGATATCGTTAGGTCCAGCTACGATCGTCTGCGCCATTTGCATGTCCTTCATGTCAGCGAATCGGCGGTTAATCTCACAGTGCGCACTCTCGAAAGGAAGCCCCAGGACATGAGGTACACGTGTGGCTATCGCAGGATCACCGCAACTCCATTGGGACTGTACACCAAGGGGAGCATCAAGTAAGTTATTCTTCTTCTTCCATGACCCCCAGCCAAAGAACTGCGGCAGCTCATGCGACAAACGTTTCGTTCAACAGTCGTGCCGTGGAGATTCCCTTCGGGGATACTTATGTTGTCCCTGAGGATGTCAGAGGGATGATTGCCATTTGCAAGAACAGCCTGGGCGATGTGCTGCAGGTGGAACCCTTCACCTTCGTCCAGGCAATCAAACAGCCATCAAATCCGCAGCCACAGAGGCATCAACGCCGTCCCAGCGTCCTAATGTTCGGCTTCAATGGCATGACCTCGAAGCAGTTTCGATCCGCCCTAGACGCCATGCCAGGGCTGGAGAGCAGCAATCAGGGCTGGTTCGAAATGCAGAACTACAAGCGAATGGGCGAGAATAGCTACATCAATCTGATGGCCCTGATCTCCGGCTACAGTCCCAGTGCGGTGCACAATCTTCAATCATCCAGTGCCATGGACGCGATGCCCTTCATCTGGCAGCGATACAAGGCAAATGGTTACCTAACGGCCTATGCCGAGGATCTGTCGCTGATCAGGAAGTTCCCCTTTGAGTTTGGAAGTCAGCCCGTGGACTACTATCTGCGACCATTCATGCGGGGCATCGCCGACAGTTTGCATCTGCGCAATCGATCCACAGAGTATCACGGACTGGACAGGCGGCTGTATGTGGACTATGTCTACGATTATTGCCAGCAGCTGCTGGAGCATTACCTCAACCCCACACAGCCCCTGTTCGGGCTCTTCTGGACGAGCAATTTCGTGAGTTCGGATCAGGACAAGCGGGAGCCAACATTACGGGACTATATCAGACGCTTCGAGCAAATGGGACTCTTCAGGGAATCGATTGTGATATTCTTCAGCGATCATGTGTGTCATCCCATGCTGTTTGTGTGGCTGCCGACGTGGATTCGCCAGCAATACCCCGACATGGCCATGGCTCTGGCAATCAACACACAGCGTATGACCTCACCCCATGACCTCTACCTCACATTGCAGGATATTGTGAACCTGGGAGCGAAAGGACCAGCACAAGCCCCGTTGCAGCCAGAGGGTTGCCCCGCCTGCCGCACGCTGTTCAAAGAAATTCCCAAAAATCGCACCTGCCACGAGGCCGGTCGCAGCGAGAACTACTGCAACTGTGACGCTTCCATGGAACTTTTGCCGGAGGAGACCGAGCTGCTGCCACTCGGCTGGATGCTGGTCAACAGCCTCAACGAGTACCGGCTCTCGCGACCCCAGCTACGGAGTCGCTGCGAGGCGTTTTCTCTGCAGAAAGTCGAGTCCATACATCAGCATTGGTCTGCCCTCAAGTCGAGCACTGTGCAGTATCGCGTGCGTTTCACCACGCAACCCAAAGCCGCGAGATTCCTGGCCACCGTTCTGTACAATCACGACACCAACAAGCTGGTGAATGTCAGTGTTCCCTCCTTCGGGCGACTCCTTCAGTATGTGCCTCTCTCGCAGTGTGTATCAGATGGGAATGACAAAAAGTTCTGCGTGTGCAAGCCAACCACCAAAAAGAAGAAAAACCCCAGGGTAGTACGAAGAAGAAAGAACACACCGCAAGGGAAGAAACCTCCTCAAGTGGCGAAGCTATTGGATACTCTCATGCAGAAGATGGATAAAATTGAGAAATCCAATGCATTAAGGCGTCAGGAGATCAGAGGGGAAGTGCAAAAACTGAAAAAATTTATCGCAACCTCCACAACGGCGGCCGAATGGATTACTTATCTGGAAGCCATCACCACGCCAAGTCCAATGTTCGATGGCATCGAGACCCATGTCAATGTGCCGTTTAGCCTTAATTTCTGATGCAAAAACTTTCCTTCACGTAACACTTGCTTAACTCCTTGTTTAGCCCATAAAATAAATGATACCAGATAAGATAGATGCCGTGGGCATATAAATTTTACATTTATTTAAACTCTACAACAGATACAATCTTATCTTTGTTTGCTATCTGCCAACTGAAGCTGAAGCTGAATCTGACGGATGTCATTCATGTACATATATCTAATAGGTACGCTCGCTTCTCATGTCACACAACAAAGAAGACTCTAACAGCATCAAAACATTGATTCAAAACATCCTCTAACAGAAGTTTGATTTCAATTTTTTGAAATGAAAGATAACAAGTTTATCACGAAATATTTCCCACATAAAGGGAAAGTAATTAATTATTTGAACAGAATTTCATGGAAACATTTCCTCAGTCATTTCCGGTAAAAAAAAAAGTCAGAAACAAGCCCCTGATATGCACATATTGTGTTTCAAATTAACAGAGTGCTGTTGGGCTTGTGCTGAATAAGTCTCGCTGTTGTCAAGGATGGATACGAGATACCCATAAGTAAACCTGCGAATCGTACTACTGAATGACTGACAATCCCAATTAAGCTCTTATCAATTGAATGATTGTGCCAACCAGTGTACCCAGTATGTTCCAGACTTTATAACGCTGTTTACTAATTCATTATGATAATAGACAGCGACCAGCCAGCCGCCTATAGCTATCAGTATTAGCACAGAAGAGAGTGTCTCTCGTTTGTGTCTCTGTCTGTCTGTTTGGATTAAGCGTCATCGTTATCCCAGTTTGTTGGGGCCTTTCAAACGATTCGGATTATATTCTTCCCGTCAGTTCGTTGCGATAATTTGCGAGCTGCGGTCGTTGCCTTTCCTACAAGTCCTTCATCCTTCCTGCGAACACGCTGCCCACAAAATGGCGAATAAAAAGATGTTCAATAGGACGACATCCATCAGTCCGGGACAGTTGCATTATTATCACACGGATTTCTATTACTCAATGGCCGATTTGAACAGTAAGTTTAAGGCTTAAAATAAATAACTCCCACATTTATTATACCCCACCATGACACTGACATTAACATGACCCGCTGCTCCCTGCCAGAACCAGAATGATTCAGTTTTAATTTAAACATTTCCGTTTTTATCAGACAGCTTATACTCGTTGTCTTTATTTTGTTGCTCTTCAAATATTGTCCGTGTTATCACCTACGTTTTATATGCGTACGTTTTATATATTTTTTTTACCATTCTTGGAATTAACTTTATGGGGGCTCATTCGACTACTCATTCATGCTACTAAATATTTAAACCTCATTTTTATAATTTTAAATGAGTTTTATAGTTTTTAGTCCTTAGATTTGATAATTAATTCATTTAGGAAATTCTGTTTAAACTAATATATTTATATTTAATATCTTTCCTGAAACAATTTCTAAATTGGAATTTTTTCTATTGCGTTGAAAATCTGTTTTCAGATCTAAAAAAAACAATTCATATACATTTTCAAAATAGACAGAACTAACCGCCCTTAGCCCTGTTTTCCATCCCTCGAATAACATGGCATCGCCACCAACTTCCCGTCAAAACAAAAAACGTTTCACTCGTACTAACGCAGCGCAGACATTTAAGAGAGAGAGCCGAGCACAAGAGAGTATTTTGAGAGCGTACAAAAATCTCACTCATCGTGTTTTATTATTAAAAAATTTTCATTGCAACAGCTCTTGAGCTATCATTCGAAATATTGCTTTGAAAGTGAAGTGTTTTGTTTTTTTTATGCTGCGTCTCGTCGGGAGAAAATTTCGTAATTATTATTTTGTAGTTAATAATTTACTTGGGAAAATGTTCAGCAGGGTGAAAATGGTGAAATGAAAATGTTAGAAACATTTAAAAATAGTTAAACAGCTAAAAATAAAGCGTGAAATAGACAAGAAAATGGGAGAGTGAGTGAGTGCATTTTTCCGAGATAAGCGAGAGACACAGAGGGCGAGAGAGAGAGATAGAGAGAGAAAGAGACGCAGGAATCGAGAGTGTGAGAGCGTGAGAGCACCTCAAACATTTGTTGATTGAAATGTGTGTCAATATAAAATAAAAAATCGGAGAATCGGACTGATAATAATGCCAGAGCAACGGCACGTTTGATTAGAGAGCCCCCTCCTGCCCACACACCCATGCATTTATCTAATTTTGGATATCTTTATGCGAGGAAAAACCCCCAAGAAATACCTGAATAGAAACTGCAAAGAAAAGACAATGCCAATGGCAATGGCAATGGCAACAGCAACAAAAACATCGGCCGTATAAACAAAGAACGAGAACGAGATCTGCATGCGAAATTCTTTGTAAAATTCACACTTGTCACAACGCAAACCCCACAGCGCGCAAATCGGAACGATAGGGAAAAGCAAAATCATGTAAGTGGAAAATTACAATAAAAGGAAAATGTACCTGCAAAAGCCGAAGCTGCTAATGCCCTTCAAAAACTTTGAAGGGAGCACACAAAACTACAGATTGTGGGGGTTTTGTTTTCGGTTTTCGATGGGAAAAAAAATCAGGGAATTTATATACTTTACAAGGTGAAATATGCCACAGTTTCAGCCTTACAAACAGCAACGTAAAACCACAATACCCTATTTAAGGGCACACGCTTAAAAATGTGTAAACATCTGTTATTTGTGTACCGATTCACATGACTAGGAAAAAAGAGTTACAAGAATCGAATTTCTTTATAGTGGCACAAAAGTGGGAACGGTTTGATCTTATAGGCAGCTGACTTATTTCCTAGGCCTTAGTACAAAAACCTTCAAATGTGTGCGGGTTTTGTTTATAAAATGTTTACGAAAAACCGGCTGGGCTGGGCTGGGGGGAGAAAATGCCATGGCTATGCCCCCGATCCGACACACAGCAATAGCCGAATAAAAACCTGTCGTGACTGGTTTTCTTTTTTTGTGGGTCTGTGTTGCTAGGAAAATGCCCAAAAAAAACCAAACAGAAAAATATGCAAAATTTTAGCTTGAAAAATGTAAAACAGCTGTAAGAATAATAAGACACCTGAACTCTGACATTATTTGGGGGCACAAAAGAGCAAATTTAAATCAAAGGAACAGGTGCAACGGAAAGTAGACAGAGCCTGGGACTATTATGGGAATATTAAAGAGAAAGTTTAAGGTTTTCCTGTTTCGGTTTGAGCAATAATCAAATGTACGACAATCCACCATCAAGCCATCAATCACTATCAAGACTTTCAAGGTATTATTCATTCTCAAAAGTAGGACAGAGAGTCTACTTGGACATACATATGGAAGTTCTTATCACTCATTAGCTGTTGCTTACTAAAGTTCCCCCCAAAGATTTCTTATCATGCAGACAAGCAACAGACCCAAATACTCTTTGAATTTCTAAAGGCAAAGATTCGTTCGTTGTATTTAATACTGCATAATTCATGATGACTTTTAGCCCATATATTCACATGCTTTCTTTGATAACAAATTGTTTTTGTTTTACGATTTAGCCACCATCTGAGCTGACACTCGACAAAAACGTGACATGATGAAAAATTACTCGTGTGTGCCGTAAATAAAATTTGGAATATATGAATTTGATTCCCGAACGAACAGAAACCGCGTCCCGTCGCGTTTCGTTTCGTTGACTCTTGATAAGAGCCAGGGACAATATAAACAGTATTTTTCATGAGGGAAAATGTGGCTTATCAACCAATGGCATCAATAGGTAGACCGGCAATTAGCAGGGGCCCCCCGATAAGGCCCGATTAAAAGCACGGGATGGGGGAAAAATAGTGCGTAACCATGTGAAACTGGGAGAGTGTGGAGTAGACGCTGTGATATAACCCAAACTAGATTAAGAGAAGGATATGGAGATTGCCCAAGATCCCCCATATTCTCATAATTTGTGGTAATTCTTTGTTTTTCACAAGAAAACTATTTCCATGCCTAAGTTTTAGTCACTCCGCTCCTGTGCCTAAATCTTAATCTTTGCTACAAACTTGACAAAGATAAACAAATGTACTAAACAAAGTCAAGTTCAAGAGAGGCACAAGAAGAAAGAGAAATAGAGAGAGCCCAGTGGCAGTGTGGCAGTGGGCAGTGGGCAGAGCGAGAGTCATAGATCGCTAACCATCGATCAAACAGAGTCTGTCACTTGCCACTGGCCATCGATCTGTGGGGTGTCTGATCGAATCTTGTGAATAGCTTGGTTATATATGTATTTGAACTATATCAATATTCGTTGCTGGATTGTTGATACAATCGCTGACACAAAGGTCTCTCACAAATACGCAGATAAACGTAATCGAGGGGGCGAGGGAAATGGCCATTCCCAGTCTCAGTCTCAGTCCCAGTCCCAGTCGCCAGTCGCCAGTCTAATTTAATAATCTCACAATCAAGACAGTGCTCCACAGACTTTTCAACCGATTAGACGTGCTCTCAGTGGAATTTTCATAGTTTTCACAGCAAGCAGCAAAAGGCAGGACAGACAAGATGCAGCCCTTGACGGAATATCGCTTTGAAGGTGGTGCTTCCAAGAAGAGAACAACAACAACAAAAAATAGAACCATAACCATTTCACTTATCATTCAAACTGTGTGCAAAATATTTATCTTAATCTTTTGTATTTTTTTTTTCGTTTCTTCTATTTTCAGAGACCCGCAAAATGCACGGGGTGAAGCGGGTTCTGATCTTCTGCCTGCTGATTGTGATACTGCCGGCCACGCTGATAATTATGCCTTTGCATCTGCGCAAAACGGTGTTCGCCGATGTCGTCTATCCCATGGCCGAGTCGGATATCATCGAGATCCGTGCGGGAATATCGTCGATCTTCTGCTCGAAGCACACCCTCAAGATGACCTCGAATTTCAATGCTTTTCAGCTGCGCAACAAGCCGGAGATATCCACAAATCGCAAACACATTCGGCTAAAGAAATCAATGACCCTGCCCGACGATACCCTTGAGTACTGGGGCTTCTTTCTGCTCAAAGGCGCCAATGTGAGAGTGAAATTCTGCTCGCGCTTCGATGGATCACGGATACTGATTGTCAAGGGCCAGCGGCAGCTGAATCTGTGCGGCTTGACGGATCACAACCAGAAAAAATTGGGTGCCAACTATGCCAAGGGCCACGAACAGGTCAAGGTCTTCTTTGAGGACAAATGGGAGATGGAAGGCCCATCCCCGCCAGCAACAGAGGGCGGTGTGCAGGAGCACGAGAACCACGGCGGCGAGGACTTGAGCGAAGACCCATCACCGCAGCAGTCATTGGATCTGCCACCTGGCTTGACCCTCGCCGGATCCACTGCCACCTCCACCTCTACTAAACCCATAAGGAAGAAGCTCAAGAAGGGAACACCCCATCTGCCACAGATGCCCGTCACGCACCACCATCATGGACACAGTTCGAGTGCTATGCCCCATCAAGCCGAACACAGTTCGAGTGCCACACCCCTGCATAGTGCCGAGGCAGACCACAGCTTAGGTGGCAAAGTGGTTGCCCCGACGCAAGGAGCGGCGCAACAGAAGAGGCAGCGAAAGCGAGAGCTTTACGAGCGGCTGTACAACCGCACGAAGCGAGAGAGTGTGTACGACAGGAAGTACAGTCACGGCGGAAATGCGGTCAATTTCACAGAGACAGACGAGTCCAACTCGGTGTCCAGTTTCGAGAATGGTCTGTTCCTGTGCTTCAACGGTGCCATACTCCTGAGCAATTACTTCAGGCCGAATGAGAGCTGCACGAGTCCCGCACTTCATGGAGAGTGCTGTGAACAACAATCGTTCGTTCGGCTATGCGGTGCAGGATGTTGTCGACGATGGATACTACTATTATATATTCTATAGCGACAACGACGAGGTGCGAAACGATATACACGTCATATTCGATATATATAAGCCGACGTTCCAGTACTCGAACCTGAGTGAGTCGCAGAGTTGCCTGAACACCACGGAATGCAACTTCAACATCAGTTTTCTGTCCGACGAGATTGTTGTCGTGGAGGTGCCCACACGGGATGGCATCGAGCATGAGGAGGATGACATTTCCTATCTGGTGTCCACGTGCCATCCACGCAGCGAGATCTATGCCATATTCCCCATCACGGTGATGGTTCTCATTCTCTGCTGCTCATTCCTGTAGGCGACCGACCGACCGACCGATCGGCCGACACCTTGTGACTCGGGTCCCACTTGTGATATTTATATATTGAGGTAAACTGAGTGATATACGAAGATGTGAGTATGTGAGTAAATGTATTTGCCGGCCCCAAACTAGAGCTTTTCACATAGCCATAGAATCCAAAATCGATTTACGGAATGAAACAGTCTGAACACACACAATACATAAATGTATATGTAACTAAACAAATCACTGAATACGATCTATCGACGTTTTTTAAGACAACATTTAGTCAAAGACACAAGCATTTAGGAGTGTAACAAAATATTTACTATAAATGGTATAGCATATAATGAATAAATTGTACATACATACATATATAAGATTAGAATTTTAAGCTATCAATAGCACACTTAAATAAGTACTTATCATTAGTTCTCATCTTCACAATCTTTATTTGGATGTTTCTATCGAAAGTTGCATCGAAAGTTGAGGATTTTGTACTTAATCGAACTAAAATATATTTTGTATAATTTTCATCACATTTTAGGACTACATTTAATCAATTTTCCCTTTTTTAGTTTCACTTGAAATGTAATAATAAATAAAGAGAAATAAAACTAATAAAATCCCATACGGTTTCAATAAAAAATAAAAAACGAGTATGCGATAAAATGAAGAAGTGTTTCTATATTTTTGGTATGCAAAAATGATAGCCAAGTAACAAGCAATAATTGAATTGTATATCCCTGTCATTATCTTCATAGAATTACTGTTTCGTTTTTGGGGGAGTGGCACTTGTTGGGGCATAATTTTCCATTCTAATTTGAGGGCACAAATGCCACTTTGTTGGCTTTACTTATTTGAAATTAATTCACACACAAGTCAGTCGGTCGCTGCCTGTTTGCAGAGAGTATTATGGCAGGCAATAGTGCAAATATTTACGAGACATAAATGTATATGTGTTTGCAGTTCAAATGCTAACAATGAATGAATGGAAATCAAAAATATTGTCATCCCAAATGGATTAATTTCCACACGTTGCTGTGTGGAAAAGTGCCTTAGCGAGTATTATTAAAGATTAGTTTCACTAAATTAAGACCCCAATAAATTTTTAAAAATCATTGGAAAGAAATAAGTTTAACAAAATATTTGAATGTTGATTTAAAATGTAACGTTCGATCGGTGAGCGCACTCTGACAGAAGCTGGGTGCTCTGCAACTCTACATTCCCCCTGAGCCTTGAAATATGTAGATAATCATGTAGATGTAGAGACTCACCTGTGTTAGACATTTGCTGCTGCGGCAACATTTAAATCAATGAAAACAGGACTTAAACTTGTGCTTTGATTAGAACACAACACACATTAACACTGGACAATTGTTTGGCACCATTTGGCATTGTTTTTTCAGTTCTTTCTTCATATTCGACACTGTTTTTTGTAATTTTACTTGCCGCAGCTTCGCTAACCCGCGCTTACTACCAGTGTGACAGTGGAATTAGTGATCAAATATACCGTCTGATCCTCTGAAATATACCGTGATATACCAAATAATTTATGAAATATACAATATTATATACCGATTTACCTAAATATACTTCAAATCCCTGCTGATCTAAGTGATAGAGCCTTGAGCTCTGCGATGTAAAATCCACGGAACAAATAAATTAAATACATATGTTTATTTGAATCGCAGTGTGATACCCTATACAAATTATTGAACATGATTGAACACGTATCTTAATTGAAATTGCACACAGTTCCTTATCGTAATTGCTAGGCAGGTAAGTACGTGTGCAATATCTTATCTGAAATGGCCGATAGATAGCACACATTCACTGGAAATAGATCAGTCGGCCAGTTCAATGGAGAAGGAACAAAGGTTATTAAATGTTTCAAAAGATCAAAGTAAAATATTTCCCATCCCCTCTAGGTCCTACCCTTAACCTAGACAACAACTCTGATGAGCGAGCTGCATGCAGCTTTCGCTCTCTCGCTGCTAAACTAAACATTTCCATGAAATTTATGAATTAAAATCGAAAGGGAAATATCTAATACCTATATAGGTATATTTGTCCATGTGTATGTTCTTCCTATCATTAATATTTTATTTATAGTCTTTTTCCAATCAGTATTCATGCTCCCTTAAACCGGTTCTTTTGCCGGCAATCCATTGACACTCTCCTTATTTCGTTCACTTTCCTCTCCTTTCGTCATGCGCATATTCGGTTATTTTTGTCTCTCTCCCGCTGCATGCTACTTTCAAGGTATATTCATATGGGGTGACGCAATTCCATGCACGTCTCTTTTTCGCCCCATCACGCTATGCACGTTGAGAGAGACCTAATTGAGAGAAGCACACCTTAACACAATCTACCTTGGAAACAATACAGTGCTGTTCTCTTCTTCGGTCAGAATTTCGCGCCCATTTCTCTTTGGTCGGTTCCAACGCTCTGCTCGCGCTCAACTTTTCGGTCGGTAAATAATATTAATTAAATATTTTAAGTGCCTCGATTAGTACAAAATACGAATACAAATCGCATGAATGACAGGCCAGGCAATTCGATTTCAAACAAAACAACGTGAGTGCAATCAAAAGCAGAAGAATAAACGAGTCAAAAAAGGACTGGAGGCGTCGTCCTGCGCGAGGAAACATGTGAGAGGAGAGAGGATGTGCAAAAAATCAATTTGTAAGTAACGGCGACTGCTGCAGACACAAAATCTCAATTAAAATGTAAATGAAATTAAATTTGTAAAAAATGTAAAACCATTTTGTCAGCATAAAATTTCGGCTAAACCCAGCGCGCGTTTTTAGTGTGTCAAAACAAAAACAAAACGACAGAATTATGTGCATATTCACAAAAGTGCAGACAAAACGAGAGCAAAAGGTAAAAGAAACAAAAATTTTGCATTCAGAATAGCCGAAAAAAAGCAAAAGCAAAGTGAACAAACGGTAACGAAAAAAAGTGGGATTCCAATTGGAATGCAAGTGAGCAAGGAAGAGATGAAAAAGGACGTCGTAATAAACGCTACCCTTAATTGAAACAAGAGCTTATCGACTCTAAGATAAGACTTGTACTTCTGTGTTATAATTGTGTTGTAAACTATTGGGGGTTTATCGGTTTAAAAAAACAGTTTTAATTTGCTTTTCAGTGCAGTGTAACTTTGCCAACATTTGTCGAAAATATAGGGAGTGCAACAGGTTGATAATTTAATAATATTAATTTAAGCCAACCATCTGTTGCTTGTATGACTTGTATAGTCAGCTGCATCAAAGTTCATAAATAAACAATAAACACAATAAAATTAAAGATAATGCACCTAGGGTATTCCATATTCGATGTTTTCTGCTGTGTGTCTAGTTTTTGTTATTTTTAATACGCTGTCTGTCATTCCCGCAAACAGCTGCCCTTTGCCTCGCTCTCTCTCTCTCTCTCTCTGCCATCCTCTTTGTCTCTCTGCAGTTGCCATTTCCGTTATGCGTTTTGTCTGCTCGTACCGCTGCCGCTGCACCCGCCCCCACAAGTTCCATCCATTCCAGGGGTGATTTGCCTTCGACCGAACTGCATTTACTTTAATTTATTTGTGGTTCGCATGTGATACTCGTATGGAAGGGGGGGCGGAGCACTCTCTTAGTCCCCAATTCGACGCTCTCTTTCAATTGCTGCACATGTGATTGTCTGACGCCTCTCCGATTAAGTGTTGTTTTTGCCTTGGGGCTGGGGCTGCATTACGATTGCAGTGGCGCAGAAGCTGACACTGATAAGCGAGCATCTCTCTCTCTGAATAATTCTGCGCGTGTTGCTGCTTTTCCTACAGGGTAGTCGCTGCAATCAAGGGCCTACTAAAATGTATCACTGTTGATCTATTGTAGCTTCTCACGCCCATAAATGACTCAGGGTGAAATGGTACTATAATTAATAGTTCCTGCAATTTCGCATAACATATGAACAACAAATATGCCCCAAATTATGAAAGTACCTCTCATGCAAAAGGCGGAAGAGCGATAACAGAAAAGGCAAAGCTGAAAAGTTCTGATCAAAGTAGTTTCTCTGCGCCGAAACAGAATAAAAGGGTATCGTATGTTCTGTAGACTTGACAGCCATTGTTGCCCCTTGTGCCACTGACGTAGCCCCAATTAATATCCAATTAAATTCGCACTTGAACATGTTAGCTAAGCCTCTGATTTGCTTCGGAGCAATCCCCATACCAAAAGTTCATCGAAATCTCAAGTGCGACGCCGACAGTTGCCTCTCGTGGCACGAGGGGGTGTCAGATAGCATGTTTATTACATGATTAAACATATAGAACCCCATCGGAAGCGACACGAGAACTCACATAAATGTCTTGTCGTCTAGGTCATTGGGCTACTTTTTCCAAATACTGTTATATTCATAACCTTTGACCCAATTCTGATTTCTCTCAAGAGTTTTTTAATATTTAAACAATGCACATCATTTGCCTTTAGAACAGGCACAATAACTAAAAGAATATCTTAATCTTTGGCAGTAAATAAATACATTTCACTAAAATCCAATCCTTGACCCGCTTGCTAGCCCTCTTCCTTCTGCTCTCGGAGGTTCTTGTAACTGAAGCTATCGAAGCTATCGATGCGCAGCGGAACGGACACTAGTTTGGCCAATCCAAAGAATACCACAAGACCAATCAGAACTATCAAAATCAAGCCACTGAAATAGATATATTTTGTATAGTCTATAAATGGAAAGATCTTCCTTACCTTTGCTGGAGCTGAATTTTGGATGATATCATTTTACTTTGGCATCCGAAGTGGAAATGAGCACTAAGACCTTTTCGGAATTTTAGTTCATTCAAACACAATAACTAAAAGAATATCTTACCCTTTGGCAACAAATAAAGACAACATATCTGTCAATAATTCATTAACAGAACTACAAATTCAATCAATTCCCAGTTTCATTCTTTGGCACCACTCTTGTCATAGTGACTAACATGATGTAGACACGATCCATCATGATATAGACATTACACAACTGGTTCCTATGATCAGCTAAACAAGCAGTCATTAAGTAGAACAGACTTTCATAGAAATTACTTTTCAGTTTTGATTTGCGAATCATTTAATTGAATTGATGATAGTTCTACCCTGTATTTGAAAGGGTATATTCGTTGTTCTGTACCCAGGAATATCTCCTATTAGTTTATTTATTTAATAATTGTCGGAAGCCACAATCTGTATTCCGCTTATTACTCATCGACAAAAATTCCTGCTGTGATGGAACCGAAAGCAAACGGATGCCTCCAAGCCATATTTCTTTTTGTCCGTCGATAACAATACGAGTAACCGTTGAGGGCTGTTGAGGGCGACAGCCACAGTTCCCCATTGATAACCAGCCACCTAATGTATTTTTTATATATATTTTTTGTTTATCTGCAAGCTAAACAATTGAAAGTGAAGTGAAATAATATCAACCACAGCACAAAGCATTTTCATTTAAAATACTCATATGTAATGCTCCCAAAAAACAAAGAGAACAAAAAAAAACCCAGCAATAATAACCGAAATGTATTGAAACTTGAGCGGAATCGTGGAGCGTAGCTGATTTTATTGCCCCAAGAGGAACGGCGGCCAAACAAAACAATTAAACAATTGGTTTGGGTTCTCGTTGGCCGATTGGGGGGTTACGTTCGAGCTTGGGGTTCAGGTTAGGGGTTTGGTTATGAGGTTCGTTTTGTGTAAACTGTCACGCCAGTGTGGTCATAGGGCAAGCGCTGAAAGCGAATCTATTAAACGAAATGACATAATAATATATCCATTTTCACTTAACTTTTGAGCTTACTTCTGGACCAAATTATGTTTATAGAGAGATTAATTGAAGAGTGTTTTATCTAAAAGACCCTGTACAGACATCTTTTAGAGGTTAAAATATATTTACTTGGATCTACAGATTTCTGCCAACGTTTAGGATAGCCACACAGACTTTCTTTAAGTTAATTTCTTTATTGTTTTTTTTTTCACATTCTCCATATAGTCTTAAGCTTTCGCATAAATTTATGAAACAAAATTCGTATTATAAATGTTAATAGATAGAGATACGCCCTCCTGAACTACAACGCTCTTCATAATAAACTTTATATTCTGCCATAAACATTTAATGTGGTTTTTCTCCACATTATAAACGTTTTATCTATACTGTATCTGCTGACTCAAATTTGCTAACATAATTGTCAATGATAACATGACACCGCGTGACAGTGTAATTGTGTGTGCATACAAATAACTAAAATATTTGATAAATAATACACAATAAAAGAAGTTCTAGTTGCATAAATTATGGGCACGCACGTTGTCAAATGAGTTCATATTCGTGATTTAAAAATAGATAATTATATAATTTATATCTTTTTTTTTAGGCTATTTATGCTAATTTTCAATTGGAAGCTACTGCACTTACATATGGTTAGATTAGATTCTAAAATTAGATACATTATTTATTATTTGAAAGGTGCGCCATGCCTTCCTCTGGTATTTGGAATGATAGGCAAATTTGCAACGCTGTTAAATTGCGTTTAATTGCTGGAATGGAACTCGAACTGGATGTGCTGGTCCGCTGGCATATGGTGCATGCCTAAATTTAATTAATTTGCAATTACAATTACAATTGCCAACTGGAGGCAGCAACGGGGACAGAGCAGGCATTGAGGTCCCCACCCACATGATGCAATTGAATTCACACACATTCAACGACACAGTCACAGCCACAAATTGAAATAATTTCTGCTCGGATGCGGTTCCATGGATTGCCTTTTAGGCTCAGGGTCCAAATCCTTGACCTGCTTCCTGGCCCTCCTCCTCCTCTCGGAGGTTCTGGTATCTGAAGCTATCAAAGCTATCGATGCGCAGCGGAATGGACACTAGTTTGGCCAATCCAAAGAATACCACAAGACCAATCAGAACTGTTAAAATCAGTTGTCCCAGGGCCACTGAAATATATATACATATATTGGATGAAAACTATAGCCAATTTATGAGTTTATGTACAGGAAGATCTTCCTTACCTTTGCTGGAGAGCCAAGGCAACTGAATTTTGGATGATATCATTTCACTATGACATCCGAATTGGAAATGAGAATTAAGACCTTTTTGGAATTCTAGTTCATTCAAACGACACTCGAATGGTAGTGTAGACCACGGGCAGCTGTTCAAACAAAAATTACGTGTATGATCTGTAGAGCTAAACCGATCTTACACTGGCGTCTGGGAATAGCGTGGAAGTTGCTGGAAGATGTGGAATAATGCCAGGCAGAAATACAGATCCCCTACTGTCCAAGCGGCGCTATACCCTCTTCTCCAGTAATGATAGTTGATGATCTTAAAAGTTACCCTCAAGAAAGAATATACCTTTCAAAGACTTCAAACGTCCGCAACTATCTGTAAGATAAGGATATTTTGCTACCATGGAAACAGCCCCAAGTGTATTAAAATTTGTTAAAAACCAATTTCCAAAAATAGATTTTGTTTATAGATTCTTAATGGAGTTCGCATATGAAAACTTTCGCTGTCCGGCAAAACTTGACCCGCAAAATGTGATTGAAAAATGGAACCATCAAATAATCATCAAACGTTATCGCTTAACTCCGGGCCAAGCCTAATGATAAAGTGTAAATATTACTTGGCGATAACGTGAAGTAGTGGCTGATTGATAGGTTCCCGTCCCAGGCCCATCGAGGCCCAGGCCCAACCCCAGACCCATGTGATTCATACAAAATAAAATCAATTACTTTAATGTCCAAACCATATTATATTATCGCGTTTTGGCAAAGGCACAACACAACTGTTGGCAGAGAGTGTTTTTTTTTTTTTGCTTTTCCAGCTGATAAAAAATCCATTACGAAACAACAAAAGAGAAGAAAATCCGGAAATGCGGTTGCATTTTGCTTAAAACTCTCTTTCATCGAGTTCTCCAGTTGCATTCTTAAACGAAACGTTGGCTTGTCCGGGCAAAGATACTTTCCCATCAGCTCTGAATATTTGCAAAGTATCGGCTTTATTTATATATTATTATTTATATTATTTTATTTAAATCTTGAATACAATAGTGGTTACATTTGTACCTATATATGTATAAATAGTCAGGAATCTCAGTGAAGTTAAAAAGACATCCAAAAGATATTAGTAGTAACCAGCAGATACCCAAGGTGCAGTGTGTGATATACAGAAATTTCTGCAAAAACTAATCAAGTGAATATAGACAACTCAAGTGATCGCTGATCAAAGCTAATGCTACAAATAATTGCTGATTAAGGATTCGATTATTTCGTATTAATTTTATTTCTAATCAGAGGTTCAGGGCCACAAAATATCTACCTTGCTTGCAGTAAAATATTATTGATGAATAACTAAACGAACGAACCCCAACGAACTCTTCAAAAAGGAACTCCCACACCCAAATAAGTTTTTGACATTAAAGTGTGAAAAGTTTAATTGCCTTTGTACAATATTTGCACTGGAAAAGTCAAACATAATGAATGTTTAGACAATTTTTAATGATGTCTTGTCATTTTATGACACCAACTCGCAAATAGACAAATTTGCTGCAGATACTTTTGGCCATTCCATCGTTAAAGATGTTTACAAAGTGGTTTGTTCGCTCATTCCAAGATAAATACATGTGTAAATAAAAGCAAAAATATGTACCTACATATATTATGTACATGTGTATCTTTGAGTAAATGCCAAAAAAAATAAATTCAACGGAAATTCAAGCTGTCTGGAGGAAGAAAGAGAGATGCGCGAGTGTTAAAGACGTGCATTGTAGGAAAGAAACGGCAAATGAAAAATATGCAACAAATAAAAAACAACTAAATTGTTTTATTAAATAAATATTTATCAAGCAGTAGCAGAGCAGCAGCGGCAGGCAGGCGCGGGAATGCAATGAGCGATTCTTCAAGCAATTGTCACGTTTTTGCATGAGATTAACACAGTTTCAGAACGATGGAAAACCGAAACGAGCCACAACCAGCACAATATTCAGATAGTTGACACTTGTTAATGGGCGACAGACGAGTGCAGATGTCCGCCCCCTAGAGTTCTACGGGCTTCGATCTATGTACACATGTTTCTATAAAGCAGATCTTGTATTGCAGAAGATGTAAGATAAAACCAAAGTGGATATAACTCAACCAAAGAAGATAGTCCCCCCAAGAGTGGATTAGCAAGAGATCCCATCCAATTCGAAAGCCTCCCGCCCCGAACAGAATCCCAAACTAAAGCCAAATGACTGCCAATAGTCTGCTAGGACGATCCATATTAAATGAAGGTGAGTAATTACTTAACTTTGATTTTGGTATCGATAACTAATCTTTAATTTATCCACAGGACGTTCAAATAAACGATCTTTTGTCTCGCTGATTGTGGGCCTCATTGTGGGCTTCTGCCTGGCCGAGCTCTTTGTGTACTCCACGCCGGAACGTGGCGAATTTATGCCCTACGATGGCCACCGGCATGGCGATGTCAATGATGCCCATCACAGCCATGATATGATGGAGCTGACGGGTCCGGAGCAGGATGTGGGAACCCATGAGCATGCTCATGAGAACGCCACCATTGCGGAGAAGCTGTACAGCGAGGTGCGGGTGCTGTGCTGGATCATGACCAATCCGACTAACCACCAGAAGAAGGCGCGTCACGTGAAGCGCACGTGGGGGAAACGCTGCAACAAGCTGATCTTCATGAGCTCCGCCAAGGATGAGGAGCTGGATGCTGTGGCTCTGCCCATTGGCGAGGGACGGAACAATCTGTGGGGAAAGACCAAGGAGGCATACAAGTACATCTATGAGCACCACATCAATGACGCCGATTGGTTCCTAAAGGCCGACGACGACACCTACACGATAGTGGAGAATATGCGCTATATGCTGTATCCGTACAACCCCGAGACCCCTGTCTATTTTGGCTGCAAATTCAAGCCGTACGTTAAGCAGGGGTACATGTCCGGTGGCGCTGGCTATGTCCTCAGTCGCGAGGCTGTGCGTCGCTTCGTTGAGGAGGCCCTGCCCGATCCGAAATTGTGCAAGCAGGATAATACCGGTGCTGAGGATGTTGAGATGGGCAAGTGCCTGGAGAATGTCAAGGTGCTGGCAGGAGACTCGCGCGATACCAACGGACGGGGGCGATTCTTTCCTTTCGTGCCAGAGCACCATTTGATACCAGCGCACACGGAGAAGAAGTTCTGGTACTGGCAGTATATCTTCTACAAGACCGATGAGGCTGGTTTCTGAACCCCATTCAAATGTCGATAGATTCCTAATGTGTTTCCACTCTTTTAGGGCTTGGATTGCTGTTCGGACAATGCCATATCCTTTCACTATGTCTCGCCAAATCAAATGTATGTCCTGGACTATCTGATTTACCATTTGCGACCCTATGGCATCATCAATGCCCCCGATGCCCTGCCCACAAAGTTGGGCATAGGCGAGCTAATGCCAGCCCCGAAAGAGCCGGTGACTGAGGCGTCCAGCGAAAAGGTGTCCAAACGTTCCGCAGAAACTGAGACCAAGACGCAGTAAATAAGTGGAGAGCATGGCCCGCCCCCTGGATGTATATAGATATCTATTGTATATAAATCTAAGCTATGCTAGCATTGCCATTACCATATCCATTTCCATTTAGACTACAAGTAGATTCCGTGTCGTGTCCGTCGTATTTGCCACTCGCCTTAGTTCAATTTTCCCCTTGCGTTTCCAATTGTACAAATTACCAAAATTAACTATAAATTAGCTTTAATTTAGATCCTGTTTCTATAGTTTCTAACTTAGTATAGGTTGTACAATTAGATATATGTTTAGGAAATTTTTCACCTTCATTCAGTTAGAGTTCTGTATATTTTGATAAGATATGGCGCAGTTGGCCTAAGTAATATTGCGATATTATGATATCTCTTTTTGTTGCTTTCATGCCCGAAAAAACGACTATTTAGCTATATATTATGAAATATCTTTATTGTGATTGAGAGGCATTACGTATTACCATTTAAAATCTACTATTTAATGAACTAATTAAATAATTTAATTAAACGATACTGTATTAACAGAATTTTGCATATGTGTTTGAAATATTTTTTCTATTGGAAATCTTAGTGGACGCCATCTGTTGGGGCTCTGCAAAAGCTTTTCAAATTGGTTGTGAGTTTGGCTAGAAAGAAAGTGAAAGCAGTAGAGCAAGCAGTTGCGCCCAGTTCGATAAATTATTCCATATAGTACATCAAGCAGTGGCTTGAAAGCTTTGATAAGCAATTGAAAGTTGTTGAAAGCTTTTCACGTTCATTTGAATTTAAATTCATATTTAAACAGAAAATAATTAAATAATAATAATGTTAGCAAATTAAATATTAATGAAAATATTAAATAAATATATAATACTAAACTAATTAATTTAACCCGATTTCAATAAATTTTCCATAGAAATGGCTGACTTATCAACCAACGTCTAGGCCCAAATAATTGGCCCGCAATAAGACTGTCAAAACGTCAACCACTAAGCCGGAAATATCAGCTTCTTGGACCACAAAACGCGGCGAAGGATCCAATTTAATTGATTCATGGTAAGCCGGCGCTGGCAGTCGCATCGTGGGACCGGAAGACACTTTCTGTAAGCCTCCCCCTTTTTCGTTATGTAATCTTTGTATAAATAAATCCAACTAATATATATTTCAGGCAGCATCACCGCACATCACATAAATCTTGGCCATCTATTATGCAAAATCCGTTTGCGGTGCTCCACCGAGAATTATTTATGCGACATTTAGTAACCGAAGAGGATATTTGGCTGCTGTTTATTTTTGCCTATTCCTAATTGCATTTGGGAAAGCATTTCGGCATGCATTTTCCAATGGTATGCAATTAAAATTGTTTAATCTTTTTGCACTAATTTGATTATTGATGCACGTAAATTGTTGCTACTTTTTGCAGGAAGGCAGATCCTTGGGCTCAGCGATGCGTGCGGCAATTGGCAAACTTTTCCATTGGCATCCGGAAAAGTGTAAGAAAAGTGGAAAATTTGTTTACCACCAAAAGCCAGCAGGCTGTATGCTCTTTATGGGGCCATTATCAGGTGAGTTATGGGCTTAACGAAGATGCATAAATTGGAAAAGTGCCAGGGACTGCAGGTCTTTATCTTTAAACTCTCATAAGTAGCGTCCAGGCAACAGATTGGCATTTTAATCTCTCAAATTGAATGCATCTGTGAAAATGCTTTGGAGGAATTTTCTTTAGTTGAACTGCGGGCACAAAAGAACTGCGAATTTCTATTCAATTTTCATTCATTTGATGACAGGATTTTACTTGACTAATGCAAACTGTTGGATACTCTTTTTATCGAATATTATAGCTGGAAGTGAATTTTTCCTTGCATTCTTATTCAGATTTTACTTGTATTACGCCCCAATCGTACCCCTTGGATAGGGTATTTTAAATATTTGTAATTTGCAGCAGATGCAACTTTTTCCCTTTTCAATTTTTTGTGTCTCTGCTGCCTGTGTTCGTGTTCCCCACCCACCCCACTGAAGCGTTAATGAAAAACTTTGACACGGAATAAGAAACTGCAGCAGCTCAGAACTCACGGCAGAAGTTATCTTTCCAGAAAAAATCAAGAAAATAAAGCAAAGGAAAGGAAAGGCAAATGGAATTGCAAAGGTAAAACATGAAGAAAATCTGATGAAAGAATAACAAGACGAGTGCGAGGGCTCCCCCTGTGTATTCCCCCTGGTTCCATGCCGTTAACATGGCGTATGATTAATGCTGCCCAAAGCCCTGGCAGACGCCTCAATGAAAATCAATTAATTAAGGGCAACAACAACAAGAGGAGGGGGAGGGAAACCCCGAAAGGGAAATGGAAAAACAAAAGGACACGCGCTCTTGTCTTCTCATGAATGAATCAACGATTGAATGAATGAATGAGTGTAATGACTCTTTCATTAAGCACTGGACCGTGAATAAAGCATTGAGCAGCCAGTCAGCCACCCAAAACAGTGGCCCACTGGCAGATCATTGGGACAGAGAGAGAGAGAGAGAGAGGGGAAGAAGAAGCAGCAACAGGAGAGCACTGCATAAATTTCCATTTAGTTAGACAAATGTGACAAAACGGAAATTGCAAACGGAGCACTCGACAGCAGACTCGCTCTCGTTCTCAGCAGCAGCATTCCACTTCCTGTTTGCATTCGGCTAGGAGTCCCAGAAGGATGCCATGCCAGAAGCTGGAGCTGCCAGCCCATCCGAAGGATCCACCTTTATTGGCATTTCGCAGCCTGCCATCTCCCCCCAGACGGTTAAATAAATGATGAACACGTTGAAGCATATTGAAATGTAATTCATAACGAAGCAGCATCGCATCGCATCGCATCTCGCGTCCTGTTGCTCCACTCCATGCTCCTTCCCCTTTCCCACCCCTTTCCGACCTTCCCCCTGTAGTTCCGCATTGCAGCATACGTTGCCTTGTGCACAGGATATGCCATTGGGGCGGCCACTCTTTTCCACATTGCTAATTGAATTATGCAACGGCCAGAGCTGCCATTGTAATTCAATTATGAACAGAAAGTGACTCGACAATGCCACCTGCATTCACAAGGAAATTTATGAACTTCTTACGAGAATATGCCACTGTATATTCCACTGCAAGGCTTAAATTCCTCAATATTTCATCTTTAGGTTGCGCAAACTCATGCCTTGGTTGCGGTTTTGCTTGGTTTCTGTCAGTAATTTAGTTAGGGTTTTGTAATTGGATATTTGGCGCTCTTTGGCATCGATTAAGCTATGCGGCTAAGCAAATTTCCTTATTAATTTCATTTCTGACGTGTAGCTGTAATTTCATGTAATTTTAATCATTCAATTAAATAAAGTTTTCAATTATTTTAGAGCTTTTAAGTGGTTAGTGGGGCAGTAAACTATCTTGGTATAATTATGATAATTAGTAATATTCTTCCTTAAATATTTACCATAATAAAAGGTAAACTAGCTTTCAATGCAACAATCCCCGAACCAAACATTGATGGTTTACTTCTCAAAACATTTTTTGCCTTTCCAATTATGCTTTTATATTATTCAGTCTCCGACACTAATCAGAAATTATAGATTGCCCTTCTAGGTGATTTTATTACTCGCTTCTTCAGAGAGTAGAATTATCTGCAGGTTTTAATAAAATTAATAAAAGTTTCAGTAATAATCACTTGAATTTTTAAACACTCAAAAACTTTTCCACTTACATTTCCATGCTATTTTTATCTTTCGAAAAAATCTTGATTGGCTAGCAAACGAAAACCGAAACTATTTAAACAGTCATCAATTTTGTAATGGAATTAAAAATATCAATTAAAGTTTCACCAGCAAAAAGCGACAACGGCTGGTTATTTACTCGTATCTCCTCGTAATCCATTGGGGATTGAGTGGCTTTTACAGTTTAAGTTCCTGACATATCGGTTCGCCACACATCTCTGACTCTGTGGAGAGAGGATAAGTATTAAGTTTTGGTTCTGGCTACTTGTAGTTTTACTTTTGGCCAGGCTGTCTTGGCCCACATGCCTGCCCCCCATTCCGATTGGTCTCCCACTGAAAACTTTCATTGGCCACTTTTGGGCTCTGATTTCCTTTATTTTTTGTTCTCATCTTTTTCCGCCTCTTTCTTCGTCGGTTTCTACTTGCATTACGCGCTGACAAACTTTATTATTTCGCTAAAAACTTTTTAATGACAAAATCAAATTGGTGCGGGCCGGACACACAAAAAAAAGTTGTGGCCAAGGAAAGCCTGGGGGGTTGAAGGAGGAGCAAACAACTGTCGCTGTTTGCCATATAATTTGGGGCTTATTAAAGTGAAGAAGAGTAATGAATCCTGGGGCAGATGCTGAAAAATTAGAGGACATAATTTCATGTCCTGCCCGTCAACTGCAATGTGAAGGAATCGACTTCCATTTAAGGCATGACATGCGGAGGAAAATTAGTTCGCCGCAAAGTGTGTCATGCCACATTAAGTTGCAACTACTTACCATCTGTTTGCTCCTTTTCTCGCATCCAGCCACCACACAGGGAATGCCCAATGGACCATTGATTCATTCTTTCATTCATTCACTCATACATTGTGTGGCAGTGGCAGTCGCATACAAAAGTGTCGGGCCATCAAGGATATTGAATTTAAAGCTCAAATGTTTATGTTTATCGATTGTTCGATACACAAACACACACACGGACGGACTGTATATAGTTTTTCTTTCGTTGATGAAGCATTTTTATGACACAGCAGAGAGTGGGGACAGTGCGGTACATTAATGTATTAAAAATGTGCTATGGAATCTTCGAATCTAAAAGTATTTGTTAGCCGATTAAATGTTTCCTGTGTGAAATCATTTAATCATGATTTCATTTAATCCCCAATTCAATAAACAACACAACTTATAGCTCAACTTTTTCAATATACTCTTAATCTTAATGGTCTACCCTGCCTGCAGCCTTATGGCTGCGAACCGCACTGTAGGCATGTGAGGAATGGACGGTCAAATGGTTATGTGGTCGTTCCATCAAATGCCCCGACATGTTGGAGAGGGGGAGGAGTATCCATCGAAGACATCGAAGTGGCTGGGTTTGCTGCGTGGGTCGGTTGTCGGTTGGGGGAGGAACCGTCCATCCCATGCCCCATAATGGCAGCCACCCATCTCTGGCAGCGGGGATAATTGCAAACTATTTGTTCGGACTCCACATAGCAAAAGGTTTCTCCCTGGTGCAGAAATAAGCGGGCCCACATAAAAACGGAACTAAAATGCAATTTTTTAGTGAATTAATGTGCTGGGGCAGCCCAACAGGCATTACCATCAATCAAAGGCTTGTCAATTTAGAGGGGCAGCAGCGCCAGGGGGTGGGTGGACAGCTACATGTTGCAATGCAAAATCAATAAAGAGGAGGAGCAGAATTGTGGGCCCTGTGACTCATTTATTTAAACAATCAGTCCGGATGCCGAGCCAAATGTGACTCAAAACTACATTTGTTAGAACCGTTTAAGGGGGGGATATTTTCTTCTCTTTTTTCTATTTTTTTTTGCGCTCTGTGCACCCT